CTCATTGCCCTACTGTGTCTTGGGCTCTGTGTGCTTCGTCCTGAGTCAAGTGTTTGCACAGTTACCTTACTAGTCTCCCTAACAAACCCAGGGGGTAGATGCCATCATTTCCCTCTCATGCAAGGAAACAGGTTAAGTGCCAAGTTCAGAGTCACACAGTTAAAGGCGAAGTGGGATTGGACCACAGCCTTTGTAATCCCAGAGTCCCAGCTCCTTAGGACTGTACTCTTCTGCCTTTGATGGAATCAGAAGGAAAAGCTCAAGCACCTCACAGGTTCACCAGGACTCTTCTTGCTTGCTTGAGGCTGCCAGTTTCCAGGTCTGTTAAATGCAGGATCAAAATTCTGATTTCTCAAGGTTGTTGTAGGATCAAGAGGAACCTAGTGGTGCCTAGGTTCTTGAACGGGGAAGCCTGGGCTTAGAGGGTTTGGTACCGTCAAATCAAGAGCTCTGACCTGGTTCTAAGGAGTTCCTCCTCCGAGTGCTGGGTGAAGGCTCTGAATCCCTGTCCCAGAACAAAATGTTGTTTCTGACCTCACTTGCTCAGGATGTCCTTCAGGGCCTCAGTGGCCTATTCCTGCCCAGCCCATGGCCCAGGCCCTTGGTTAGGACCCTTTGGATTATGTGAAAGCTGGAGCTGTTCCTAGGAACCTGCTTAGAGAGTGCAGTGTTTACTGTTTTATAGCTATGGCAGAGCCCAGGTTCTTGGGGCCTGGCGAGCATCCCAGCACAAGAGCCCACGTCATGGCTCTCTCCAGTGCAATTCCAGGGGAGCTGGGATTGTAGCAGGACTTCCCCAGAAGGTAGATAGGGTGCGTCTGAGCTGGCTTGGAAAGAATCACCTATTCCTAGGCCCACACTCAGGGGTCTGACTGAGTTAGTAGGTCTGGGTAGGGCCTCAGAATCTATACTTTTATGATTTCCCCAAGGGATCCTGTAGCAGTCAACTTGGTGATGATTGATCTAAGGGCTCTACCTAGAATAGAGGTGTTTAATTATTTTTCTTTTGCAATACTGGGGATTGAACTCAGGGCCTTGTGTTTGCTAGACAAATGCTCTACCACTTGAGCAGTGTCCTCAATCCTTTTGCTTTTAGTTTCTTTTTTGGATAGGATCTTGTACTAACATTGCTTGGGCCAGCCTCAAACTGATATCCTCCTACATCTGCCTCCTGAGCAACTGGGACAATGGGTGTGTGCTACCAAATCCAACTTGTTTTTGAGATAGGGATTCCTTAACTTTTTGCCTTCTGTCCTCCAAAAGTTACACTCGTCTCTGCCTCTGGAGTAGCTGAAGTAGGAATGCTACCAAGGCCAGCCTGGAGTTTTGTTTTTCTAATGGAAAAATTATATCTGTCTCTCCCTCCAACTTTCCATTCACATACTAACTGAGCTCAACTCTGGACCAAGAATGAGCTAGGTGCTGGTGAGCAAGGCAAGGCCCAGCTCAGCCCTCCTCTCCACAGAGCACTCACAGCCCTTCCCAAAAGTGGCCACTTTAAATGTTTTTCCTAAGAGCCTTCGGATTCATTTCCCTACCTGAGTAGGATGGATACCTTTGACAGATCAGTTCCCTTCTACCTCAGATGCTTGATCTTGTCCCTAATACCCCTGACTGAAAATCCTCTCTCTTGTCTCATTTCAGTTCCTCTCACTATTGCTTTAATTCTGACTCCTGCTCCTGCTTATCAGGGTCCAGTGGTGCAAGACACTGAGTACTAGGTGCTAGGGCACAGAAAGGAAAGTAAAATCCTGACGCTCAGAAATTCACTGGTACAGTGGAGGAGACACCCATAACTGATGGGAAGGTGCAGAGTGGTCATACTGTGATAGAATACAACAGATATTTGGTGTTCATGCCTAATTCTTGCACAGAGCTCCTAAAACTCTTGCAATTTTGCAAGTGACAGGGGTGACTGGAACATCTTTTGTAATACTATTTGGTCTTTAACCCCACTCTCTGACACAGAGCTCCTAACTCCCTTGGGATTTCCTGGGTGACAGAAGCATTTTTTGTTTTGATGAGTTAACTTAATATTGCTGATGAGGGTGGTCATCAGAAAGATCAAGCAATGATTAGAAGCATGGAGCCTTCAGCCTTATCTCCTGGCTCCCAGGGAGAGGAGAGGGATGGGGATTAAGTTCATAATCAATCATGCCTACATGGTGAAGCCTCCAGAAAGATCCTGAAAGCATGGGGTCAGGAGAGCCTCCAGTTTGGTGAACACATCCACACCAAATGGCAGGAGCATGACCCACCCAAGCTCCAAAGGACAGAGCTCCTGTGCTCAGGACATTCCCAGGCCTTGCCTTCTGCACCTCTTCATCTAACTTGTATCTGTAATACTTCGTCATACTCTTTTTGTATAATAAACCAGCAAATGTATTTTCCTGAGTCTGTGAGCCTTCATAGAAAATTCTCAAGCCTGAGGAAAGGGGAGTGTGGGAACTGTCAATTGCTGGCTAAATTGAGCAGAAGTATGGGTAACCTGAGGACCCGCTTCCTGTGGTTGGCATCTGAAGTAGAGGGGCTGTTTTGCTGTTTTGTGGGCCGGATCCCCTACCTGTGGGTCTGTGCTAACTCTGGGTGGCATCAAACTGAATTGTAGGAGACCCAACTCATGTCGAGAGAATAGGAGCACAGTTGGTATGAAAGAAGCTACACATATTTGGTGGCCAGAAGTGTTGTGGAAGTGATTAAAGGAAAGTGAGTTTTTCCTATACAAGGGACTCAGGGGAGCACAGAGGAAGGGCCTCATAGCAGAGCCGGTATCTCAGGGTCTCACTGCTTTCTTGATGGTGAAGAATAGGCGGGGGCTGCATGCCCCAGAAAAAACCCATCACTGTGCAGTGCTATCAATTTATGCATGAATTCTGGCCTCTTCCCTCTTTCACGGTTGCGCAGCCACTCACTTCCTGCTGCTCTAATGTGTCGCCAGTGAAAGCACTTCCTAGAGTGTACAGAGTGGGCATCGGTGCCAACTTGCAGGCTTCCTTGGGGCCACCAGTGTCATCCCCTGCCCCTGTCTGCCTCATTCTTGTGGCTTGGGCCTGCCTGTCATCATAGGTGGGGGAATGGAAGCTTGGAGGTTGTGTTGGAGTGAGGCCATGCCAAATCTGAGCATGGCCTGGTAGGCAGGAATGGGGAAGCTCATATGGTGTAGAAGTCAAAAACCACAGAAGTACAATACCTGAGGCCTAGAGCTGGCTCTGCCTATAACTTGCTGTGTGAGTTTGAGTCACTTACATGGTGCTACACTGGAGCTCAGAGTCATTGGCCCCACTCTAGACCTGAGGAACCAGAATCCGCATTTTAGCAAGAGGCACAGAGGGTTCATACGAACACTAGCTCTGGGAAGCCCACCTAGGGTTCCCTTTTCTTGCCATAAGCACATGATTAAGGCAACAGTGGTGGTGACCGTGGTATCAGGCCCTTTAGGGGCTTCCTCTGTGACATGACAGTTGACCAGATGGCCTTAGTGGGGAGGTGTGCAGAATGGCACCTCACATCCAAATCTAGCCCTCAGCCCAGTTTTGTCTGGCCCTCTGCTCAAACTCTTTTGTAATAAGGTACCAGTATTGAAAAACTTGGAACTTTCTCATCAATATCTAGACTTCTAGATTCTTTTGAAAAATTGAACGACGTAGGAAATGAGCTCATTCCACTTGACAAGTTTCCCTGTGCGCTCTGAAATTGATGCCAAACTTGAGCTCTTGTCCCATGCTCTCTTCCCATCACTGATCCTCTGAGGATAAAATCCCAGAAGTCTGTTAAAACACGTGAAAGATGTTTAGTCTTGCTCTTAATGTAACAATTAAAAACTAAATCTGACACTGGTGGCTCATGCCTGTAACCCTAGCTACTCAGGAAGCAGAGATCAGGAGGATCACAGTTTGAAGCCAGCCCCAGGCAAATAGCTCTCCAGACCCTATCTCAAAAATACACAACAAAAAAAGGACTGCTGGAGTGGCTCAAGTGGTACAGCACCTGCCTAGCAAGCCTGAGGCCTTGAGTTCAAACCCCAGTACCACAAGAAAAAAAAAAAAAGCCCAAGAAACAACAAAAAAAAAACCCTAAATCTACACCAAATTGCCATTTTCCACACCCCTTACTAGCAAATATTAAAAAACAAGTTTGGTAACTTGCTGTGTTGACAAAGGCAGAGGAGATTGGTCCCTTCACATACTGGCGGGAAATTGAGTTAATACAATCTCATTATCTCTCAAAATTGCCAAACACTACCTACCCCCTGACCAAAACCCCCAGTTCTAAGACCCTGTCCCGCAGACATGTGCACACATTGCAAATGTAATTCTAACGCACACATACAAACTTAGCCATTGAGACACTGGTAATAGCTAAAGATTAGAACTAACCAAGTTGGCCCTCAATAGGGACTGGCTAGGCACAGTACAGCACAGCTGTACAATTACATATTACGTAATTTTGGAGCTCTTTATGTTATGATATTATTAGTTGAAAAAAGGAGGGAACAGAACAGCCTACCCAGTCCAGTGCCATTTGAGGAGGGAGAGTGTAGAAAGAGATTCAAGGACTCAGCAGCTTCTGCCACATCTGGGGAGGGGCCTCAGAGGCTGGGGCACAGGGGTGGTTGGTTCTTTTCACTATCTACACTTTTGTATCCTTTGAATGTTGAGCCACATCTGTATATCATCTACTCAAAGAATTAAAAGCGAGCTAAAAATTTCCTGAGACCTAGAGTCTGTGGTCCTGACCTTACAGGATTCTAACACTTTTTAACGTGGTGAACCTAACTTTTAACAACTCTGGAGAGCTGGTCTGAGGTGAGACTGGGCTTCTGGGCCTTTTCTGGGTCTATCTGTCTTGTTTGTCTTCAGTCAGGCCACAGCAGCCTCTGTGAACATGGGCAGCTCTGATGGGGGTTCCTTTCCCAGCATGGTGCAGCTGCATACACACTAGCGTCTTCTGGGGACACAGCCCTCAGACTCCTCTCTTCTTTGCCTTCTCTGTTGACCTAGGGGAGCCTTCTCTGTCGTACGAAGGTGTGTGAAGGTGCTGGCTGGCCAGGAGTATGCTGCCAAGATCATCAACACCAAGAAGCTCTCAGCCAGAGGTAGGTACCTAGCCCATGCCTGCATCCCCTATTCCTTTTCTTCTGCCCACCCTCTACCTCTTGGCTTGGAACCAGGCTCTGAGTCTGGCCCCCTGAAGGACACAGGACTAGAGGCTCTTCTTGAAGACATGATGAGAACAGACCCCTCCCTTTTTCTTTCTTGGCAAATCTGGGCTGGAAGTCACAGCCTGTCCCAGACAGGCCAGGCTCTATACCATCCCCAAAGTAAAGGTCAGGGCACCTGATGGGACTTCCTTTCCCATCTGCCACTCCCCTTCCTTTCTCACCTTCAGACCTCTGCTCTGCCATCCCTTTGCCTGAATACCCTAACCTGGCTCCTTCCATGGCTCACCCTCTTTCAACCTTCAAGTATCCTTGGAACAGCTTCCCTGACCTCTCAGTCTAGGAGGTCTTCCCTATTTTCTGTCTCTGTTGCTGTCTATTTTCTTTATGGCTGTCCCCTGATTTGGTCTTTTCTCATTTGCTGGTTTGGTTCCTTGTTTAATATCCATCTCTTCTTGGCCTTGACTGTGAGCTCAGGAGGGTAGGTGGACATGTCTCATCACTGCTCTGTGCTCAGCACCTAGGACAGTGCCTGTGGTAGGTGCTCAGAGTGGCAAATGAACTTTGGGAGTCTGCTTCCAGAGCACCAGCCCACTCTCTGGTCCCTAAATAGGTAGTATGGGTGTGACTGGAGTTTTGGAAAAGCTATACAGCTAATTCTAATTTGCAGAAAGATTTGGGAACCATAACCCTAGGACCTTAGAAGTGGTCCTGGACCAGCAGCGTTGGCATCCCCTGGAGATTGTTAGAAATGTAAAGTATTAGGATCCACTCCAGACCTAAAAAGCCCAAATCTGCATTTTAACAGATGCCAGGTGAATCATAAGGGCATTAAAGTTTGGGACGCCCGCTCAAGAGATTCCTTGCCATTAGCTTGTGTTTAGGGCACTAGTGACAATGACTATGGTGTATGTGGGAGAAGGCTATCTTCAAAGATGCCAACATCCACCCCAAATGAAGCAGTGAACAGCTGCTTTGGGGACTGTCTGGTGTGGGGGAAATTCTGTTGAATGAGGGGAGTGCAGCTGCAGGCCGTGCAGCTGATGGGAGACATTGTGTGAGGAGCAGGCACAGGGTCCATGTGTTTGACAGGCCACAGCAGTGTCTGGGCCAGGGCCCAGCAGGTGCAGGGTTTGTGAAGGTGCCCATGCTGCTGTAGGATGTTCATGCTGCAGCCCACAGGCCTCCCAGCAGGCCTTGTTTTGGCCTGCATGTTGCTGCTTTCATCTCTGCCTCAGTGTTGCCGGGTGCACAGCACTCTCTCTAGTTACCAGCCTCCCTGCTTCCTGCATCCTGCAGGGAGAAGATGGGGTCTCTGAGGGCCCAGGACCCTCCCGTGGCATGGTTAGTGTGAAAAGGCCAGACCTGTGGGAGGCCTGGAGCCACAGCCAGGGTAAGGAGTCAGGGTAGGCAGGAAGGCTTGCAGGAATGCTGTTTCATGTCTGGAGTCCTGGATTGGCCTTCTGTTGCTGTCTGACTAATAGAAGTCTGGTGCCCTCTCAGTATTTTGTGCCTCTAGGGATCAAGAGCAACGTCAAGACTTAGTGTGGTGATAAGTTAAGGTTGCCTAAGAGAGGTCTGGAATGAAGGTCTCTTTGAATGTCGGGGGTATTGGGCCAGCTCACCACAACCTCAGCGGTACATCCACGCTCACACTAGTACAGAGACAAAGGTCGCGGGACACAGGAAAGACCATCATTCTTATTTGGGAAGGTGACTAGGCATTCTTGAGACAGTGCAGACTCTGTGCCTAGGCCTGGAAGTCACAGACCAAGCTCTCTCTCTCTCTCTCTCTCTCTCTCTTTCTCTTTCTCTCTGGCTGTTTGTGGTCCTTGACCTCCTGGGAAGAGGGTGACACAGGCCTAGGTGAATGTGGAGGATGGGGGTGGGGAGGTTATCAGAAAACATTCCCAAAGAAGCCTGCCAACTGCCAGGCGCTTTTCCCCAGCGGGAGAGGAGGAGCAGAGGAGGAGCAGCCTCTTTTAGCAGGTCTCTCTGTTTGCCACTCATGTGCCTCCAGGGGGGCTTTAGTGCAGCTCATTTGGCACCAGACTCTAAACTTCTCCTGCTGGCTCTCAGGGGCGACTTCCAGCAGCTCCCAGTGGGGGCTGTGCTCACCCAGGGCATCTGTCTACCCCTCAGAAAGCTGTGACTTTCCCTCGCCCACCCTGCTCAGGTTCTGCTTGCAAGCGGTTCCCAAACCCAGGAGATATTTTATATTGATTTTTAAGTTAGCTTTAAAAATACACTCTCATAATATAATTCAAAGAAACAATAAAGAAATGACAAGTAAATTTTTTGCCTGTCCCAATTCCTGTCAGTTCCCTCTCTCCTCCTCATGCCCCCCAGTCTTTCCAAAAAGAAAAAATGTAGCTGCATAAAAAAAAAAAAAGAATCAGTAAGTTCCACTGCTGAGGATTCAGTTGGTGAGGTTGAAATCCTGGTATTTCAAAGCTGGGTCACAGCAGCTGATTAGGACAGGCTCCATGCTGTCCTCCTACTGAGGGCTCTGCATGCTTCCCTGTCCATCCTCTTTGTAGCCAACTGGGGCACTTGGCACAAGGATGTCGCTGTTGCAGGGACCTGGGAACAGGTTGAGGAGGCCTGGGAGCCTCCCCAAGCTCTAAGCTTCATCTTGGTACATAGCGGTCACCTCCTAGGCTTCCTGGAAACCAGTTTCAGGGCACAGGATGGGAAGAATGGCAGAGCTCAATCAGGCTGCATCTGAATTTCATTCAGGCCCCTGAGAGGGTGCCCCCAGGGTCACCACAGGAGGCAGCAAGGTAGCAGGTCCTTGGAATAATTTCTTCAACTTCCCAGGACCCAGAGCCCAGTTGATGCCCTACAGAAGGAGGGGTACCTCCTGCTCCCAGACTTTTCCCAGGTCTTTCTCAGCATGGTTCATTGTCCCTTCTGCCAGAACCCCATATCCACCTGTCTGCTGGGGCCCCAGCTGCTCTGGAGGCAGAGCCTTGCCATCTGTGTGACTGAACTTCCTCTGGCTCTGCCCTGCTGGGATCATCTGGCTACAGGGACCTCATTGCAGTGTCCACCAACTTAGCCTCAACTCTGTGGCAGTGACCAAACTACCAGGGCAGGAAGATTATCGTGGTGGGCACTAGGGACAACCCTGAGACAGGAGACTGGAGACCCCTAGCTTCCCTGAGACTTCTAACCACTGCAGGACCCTGCTGGAAGGTCTGGGTCACCATTCATCAGTTGTTAAAATGGCAGACAATGCTGTATCGTGATTATGAGCACGGACTGAAATCCAGCTCTGCCACTTCTTAGAACCTTGGATGAGCAGCTCTGTGCCAGGCTCTGGGAATATAGCAGTGACCAAAGGACAAAGTCTAGTTCTCACTGTGCCCAATTCCCAGGGTACGACACTGAAAAGAATATTAAGCCTATGTAAAATGGGTAGTTTCAAGAAGTGGCAAGCGTTATAAAGAATTTAAGGCAGGGTAATGGGGCAGGAAGGACACTCTTAGAAAAGGGAGTGACATTATGCTGGGACCTGCCTGATGATAATGAGAAAGCCATGAGAAGGCCCAGGGGAAGAGAATTTCAAGCAGAGGGCATAGCAAGTACAAAGGCCCTGAGGTGGGAAGGAACTTGGTGTGGCTGGGGCTTGATGGTTGAGATCAGGCAGAACCCAGTGAGGTCTTTGCTATGGTAAGAAGTCCAGATTGCATTATAAGCACATTGGGGAACTGTTGGAGAATTTGACTCAAAGGAGTGACAAGATCTAATTTTTATCTTAAAACAAGTTCCTTTGATGCCATAGACAATTGGCTGGGGTGAGGAGTCTAGGGAGAGTCCAGGAGTGGTGTCCTCAGAGCTCTGAGTTCTAACAAGGCTTGACCACCTTGACAAGTAATTTTGATAAAGATGCCACCCCTTGATCACTGGGCCTCAGTTTTTCCATTACACAGTAAGGTCTCAGAGGTCAAGACATAGACTCTACCTGTCTTGAAATTCTCTATGCATTAGAAAATCAAAACATTGCAAACAAGGTTCTAAAATTATTGTATAATATATTTGTTTACATTCAACATGCTTTTAACAGTGACATTTAACATTGGTATATAACACATATGCAGGACACTGTTACATACAAATGGCTGACTACGAGATTTACACGAACAATAGTTCCTGCATTTCTAATAGCCAGACAGAGTTTAAAATTGTGTGACCAGTTTCTCTTCTCTCAGACATCAGTGGAACTGAAGATGCTTTCCTGGAGAGAGCATCAAAATTGCATATTTGGGCCCTATCCTCTCAGTGTGTAGCCTGAGCTAGAAGGCCCCCACCCTCTGTGAAAGGCCCAACCTTGACCTGGCTGATAGCTGGTTCTGGGAGCGGGGGGGCATGTATGGAGCAGGACTCTGGCCTCTCCTGGATGGAGATCCTCTCCTCTGCCCAGAATGTGGAAGGAAGCTGGGAGGGAGGGGCCTGGGGAGGATGTTCCCAACCAAGCCTGCAACAGGTTCTGGGCTAGGGAGTTGAGTGTATGGAAACCAACTGGACTTAATTGTTTTGGCTGATGGCAAAGTCACCTTTTAGTATTGACCTTGGCTCCTGCAGCCCCTGGAGGACAGAGTGATTGCTCTCATGGAGGGGTCAGGGGAAAGGGGATCTGGGTGATCAGGGATGAGACTAGGACTTTCTCTATCCTATTTGCCCTCAGTTGTGTACAAAGTGAATAAGAAACAAAAATGAATTCCATTCTTAGACTTGAGTCCCATCCCCAAGATAGTTCATTATGTTTATGCAAATATCCCAAAATCTGAAATCTGAAACACTTCTGGTCCCAAGCATTTTGTTGGTACTGGGGTTTGGACTCAGGATCCCAGCCCTTTTTGCTTTAGATATTTTTTGAATAGGGTCTTGCCCTGAGCTGCAGGGACCTTGCTCCTCCTGTTTAAGCTTCCCCCACAGCTGAGATGACAGGTGCATACCACTAAGACCAATTTTTATTGGTTGAGATGGGGTCTCTAGAAAAGTTTGCTTAGTTGGCCTAGAACTGAGATTCTCCTGATCTCTGTTTTTCTTAGCAGTTAAGATTATACACGTGAGCTCTTCTTTTTGGTCCTAAGAATTTTGAATAAAGGATACACAGCCTGTATTCTACATTTGCTAGGAGTTTCTCTGTAACCGTTGTTTTTTGTTTGTTTGTTTTTAGTTTAAGGCATTAACTACTGAATTGTGAGGAAAAACGACATAAAGAGAACTGAGGAAAGGCATCTTCAGCTCTACTCTGTTATCCCTGAGGCCTGGGCTTGTTCAGGCTGCAGTTCTTTAAATGAGGACAGCCCATTTTGGGGTGCACTGAGCGGGGTCATGGTTATGATTGCACCTAGCAGCCTGAGAGTCAGACTTCAGGTGGCAGATCCCTGGTGAGGCTCTCCCAGGTGGGTGAGGGGACCTAGGGCCTTGGACCAATGGCCTGAAGGCAGGGCTATGGGTTTAGGGCCGTTCCCGAGGGTACAAATTGTACCCTACAGGATCTTTGAGACTCTGTCCCTGTCCCAGAGTCCTTTGAAAGGGAGGTGGCTTCTGGAAACACACAGAGCTCTTCTGGAGGGAGCAGCTCTCCCTTAGGAAGATCACACAGTCAATCATTTGTTCTCTCATTCGTTACTTCTTGAGTGTCTATTTTGTGCCATGCATTTAGGTAGACACTGGAAGAAATAGAGACCTTGCCCTCAAGGATATAGATGTCAAGGAGACAGGAGTGTGCTGTCCAGGGGCCCTGATTGATTGGAAGGGAACCCTGCCAGGCTGGCAGTCAGGGTAGGCTGAAGGAGTCTACAGTCCTACAGATGGCAGGAACAAGTAACAACTGGTAAATGAGAAGCAGAAGGATGCAGGAGATGGTCCACGCTGAGAGAGAAGCTTGCTCCCAGTGTGGGAATGCTGAGCAGCAAGTGGATGGGGAAAACCTGCTGGCCTCAGGGGGTGGTGAACCAGAGGAGGGGCTGCGGGAGCTGGACTGGGGCAACCCAGGAAGGGAATTGGAGAACTCCCTCTTTGTAGAGCTCTGGAAACTGAGGCCCGGTGAGGGCGAGGGACTCACCTGAGTCTCTGCAACCCAGGCCTACCCCCTTCCACCCTTCCACACACCCCAAGCTTTTGCTGTCCCTAGAACCAGAGACCCTGGCCCAAAGGTCAACTTTTCCAGTGCCCTGGGCTGAGCAGGTGGATACAATAGAGGCTGGGGGTGGCAGAACAGGCTCCCTGGCACTCATCTGGGCATTTTTGTTTCAGACCACCAAAAGCTGGAACGTGAGGCCCGCATCTGCCGTCTGCTGAAGCACCCCAACATTGGTGAGCCCTGGGGGTGCGTGAGGGGTCCTGGCACGGTATTGGGGTATGGTGCAGCTGCTTTCTTCTCTGGGATGGAGGAGCAGAGGTGGGAAAGAGGGCATCCTGTGTGGTTTCCACACTACTCAGAGACCAGCTTGTTTTGGGGGAAGGTAAAGAATGGGCCCTTCCTCCTGCCCCATGCTGCTGCAGCCTCCTTCAGAAAAGCTGTTTCAGTACCACTCCTAAGCTGGGGAGAGATGGAACTAGGCCAGAGGGAAGCTCAGCCTTGACTCTGTGGCCTACTACCCAGACCCACCCTGACCTGAGTCAGCCTGACACCGTGGCCCTGCCCACCTCCCCGGTACCTGCCTCCTGTCCACCTATTGGGGAAAGCTGACCCTTGGCCCCTGCCCAGGACAGACCGAATACAGAGTCTGGGCAGGTGGAGACAGTGCCAGGGTGGCAGCCCCCACAGGGACAGGCCCTGAAAAAATACACCTCACCACCTGACTTCCTGTGCACCTGGGGTGCTGATCCCTGCCAGTCAGAGTTCTGAGTCATAAGGAGAAGAGCACAGCTGTTAAATCCAATTTTATCAGTAAAAGGCTGTATGACCTTGGTGGGAACCCTCTCTGAGCCCCTTTACCCATCTGTATGAGAGGAGGGCCATCTGGACCAATGCTTGTCTTTCTCTAATCATCTGGACATCCTGAGAAAAGATAGCTCAGTGGGTCTGGGGTGGATCTGAGGTTTCACAATTCTCACAGGGGAACCTAAGGCTGCTGATTGAGGAGAGCCTTCCAGGCTCTGTAAGGACTCCAAGCTCTCTAAGGACAGAGACAACTGTGACAGCCACCATGCTTTCTCCCCTGGGAAAGAAGTCTTTCTTGGTTCCCAGGACCCCAAGGGTTAAACCAAGACCCTGTCTCTCCCCTCCACTGTGCTGTGGCCACCAGAGGTGAGGCCAGCTGTACAGAATAAGCTCAAGGTAGCCACTGGGGAGGCCTTGGTTAGACACTCCCTGCCCCCCTGCTAGCATAACTTCTGTGTGGCCTGGGCAGCACCCATCTGCCTGGGTCTCCTGCGCCTCCTGTGTAAGGAGGGGTTTGAGTGCTCTCTGACTGCAAATCCTGTGGTTCTTATTGAGGCTGTTGGCTCAGAGGAAGGAGTATGTGTGTGTGTGTACATGTGTGTGTACACATGTGCATGCATGTGATGCTGCAGGACTGCAGCTGTCTCTGGTCAGTGATGCTCCTTTATTTGTGCCTCCCTCTCCCTCCCTTTCCCAGCCATAATCAGAGTGGCAAGCTACGGCCTCAAGCTGACAACTGTGGGCCATACTCTCAGTTTGCTGCTTCATTGGTGTGTGATCTGGAGATGTTATTAACTACTCTGAAGTTCAGCTTTACCTGTAAAAATGGAAATCTATCTGTCTTGTGGGATGGAATGATTATATTGCCCAGGGTTGGTGAAGATCTCAAGAAGGTCCCTGAGAGGAAAATAAAGGGGCCTCAACTCAGGCCCTTAGGTTCTTGAATTGTAGAAAAAGAAAGATGGTAAGAAAGAGACTGACAGATTTATTCAGGAAGTACAGATGCACCTTATAGGCAAGGCCCCGGGTGGGTAGAAAGGACGCAGATGAGCTGGGTTAGCAGGGCTGTAAGTGCTGGGAAATGCTTTGTTTTAGGCACTTGGGACTTCCCACTCACTCCTGCTGCTTTAGAATTATGGCATTATCAGTTCAACCCAGAGACATTACATCTAATAGGTCGGTTAATTTCAGTTCCTTGCAACAGAGACTTCTGCCTCTTGTGACTTAATGACCACCTTTCAGATCAGGCACTCCACCTTGAGCCACTCCACCAGTCCTTTTTAACCAGGTGGTTTTCTTGAAGGTATGTGTGCTTTGTCTCTAGGGCATAATAATGCTTAGAAGCAAGGACCAAGGAAGGGGTCATTCTGTGCATGTGTGCGTGTGTACATGCGTGCATTTGTGTGTGTTTAGCTACTTGTTATTGTTCAGTGAAGGAGCATGAAGCTTAAAGAAAAGAAAACAGCATTTATGCATTTCCTAATCAGATTGTACATTACTACAATACTTCTTTCTGAATTCCTGCTTTTTGCTTCTCACAACCTGTTTTTAGTCTGTCCTGCCCCTGTTACATAGAACACAGCATAGCGACAGACCTATGGCAAGCTGCCTCTTCTCTAGTGTGCACCTTCCCCCCCAACAATATTATCAGAAGACATCCTTTGGGCTGGGCATGGGGCTGAATGCCTGGAAACCTAGTTAAACAGGATGTGTAGTAGGAGGATCCAGGTCCAAGGCTGACCCAAAAAGCATGAATCCCTACCTGAAAAATAACAAAAGCAAAAAGGGCTGGTGGTGTAGCTCAAGGTGGAGAGCCTGCCTAGCAAGCTCAAGGCCCTGAGTTCAAACCCAGTACTGCCAAAAAACAACAACAAAAAAAATTCTTTGCCTGGAACTCCGTAAGACTGTCATTGCTGTAAGCCATCAAAGTCATCAGTCTTCAATGGATAGCACGCTGGTAAAGAGAGTGGTCTCAGTCCCAGCTCTGCTGTTTACTTAGTGTCAGAGCATAGCCAGGCCACGGACCTGTCTGAACCCCAAAATTGTTCTCTGTGAAGTGGGGGCAATCATGGTGCCTGCTTTCTAGGAGTGTTTGGAAGTTAAATGGGATAGGCACACAACCTAACACATGGCAGAAATTCAGAAAGAGTTGCTATCTTTTTCCTCACTGTGTATCACGGAGCTATTTATTTCTTCATTCACCTGATGTCAAGCACATCCAAGGACTTTCCACATGGCAAGTCCTCCACCAGGAACTAAGGATATTGGGAGAAATGAGGGTGGGCAGATGGGGGTGGCAATGGCCGGTGCACAGGGCCCTGGGAAGTGGAGCTGAGCATCCAGCAAGGAGAACCTTAGAGGACCTTGCATTATGGCAGGACCCGGGGCTATAGGGCCCTTGGAGGGCACCTTCCTGGTCCTCCCAGCAACTCACCCCCACAAAGTTGCCATCCTCTGGAAGAAGTGCAAGGAGGTATAATAGATATGGGTGCAGAGCTGAGAGGCAAGTCTGTGCCTAGAGAAACCATACCAAATCCTATTCAGCCAGCTTACTGGTTGCTGTCTACATGTGGCCACTGCCTAGCCCCAAGGGGACAGGCCGGGGAGCACAGCTGTGCCATGCACAGAGCATTTACCCCCGCTCCAGGTCATACTTTGTGGAGGACAGCACCCTACTCTCTGTACCATCACCACCTGTGATGGGAAGACCCCAGAAGGCTGCTTCAGGGTGCAGGGCACTGGGACTGTGAGACAACCTGAGGGTTTAGTAGGTGGTTTGGGGTAGGGAAGGAAAGTGTGGGTGGTCAGTGATGAAAATGGCAATGTCTTCATTTACTGGGCTTTTCCTATCACTCGGCAACTGTGCTGAATGCTCTACAAGAATCACCATGCTAACTCTGCAGCAGTCCCATGGATTAGCACTACCATTAGGAATGGAGGCTCAGAGAGCTTAAGTCCTTTGCTCAAAATCACACAGCTTGTAAGGGGTGGATCTGGAAGGCGAACCCAGGAAGTCTGACTCTAGAGTCCATGTTCTCAGCCATTCCATTTAGCTTCCCAAGTGGGTATCACGAATGTGTTGTTGGGACATGCAGATAAGGGAACAAGAACTATCCTCAACTTCCGAGAAAAAACTAACCACTGGAAAATCACAGAAATGTCAGAAATTTATGATTCCAGCTATGTAAATGAAAATCAGGTTACAGACTTGTTTGTTCTTTTGTGTGTGTTGGAGGTGGGAGGCTTGCTATGTAGTCCAGTCTAGCCTCAAACTCACTATGTAGCCCAGGCTGGCCTCAGCCTCTTGAGTACTGATTACAGGAGTGCATCACTACACCCAGCTCACATTTGTTTGTTCTGTGACAATATCTTAAAAAGTCAAGTGACTTCCCAACTCAGTGGGTACAGACACGCCAGTCACTGCCCCAGGAGGCAGGATGGCTACTATAGCAGTGGCCCTTGAATCCTTCTTGTCCCCTGGGCTCTGACTTAAGTATTCCTCAGGGCGGCCTCCATGCTGGGAGGGAGGCTTCTTATGAGTACAGCACTGCAAAGAGGTCTGTCTCCTGGGTTCTGAGGTGTGATTGCACCCCACTCTCAGGTACTATGGCAGACTCCAGTAGCATCGCACAGGTAGCACACTACCTAAGTGGGGGCTCCAGGTAGTCCATGTGCCCTCACCTGGCAGCTCAGAGGGACAGCCATTTATAACAGCACAAGGAAGGCGGAAGGCACCACTGAGCAAGAGTCTGCTCAGGAGAAAACCTCCTCCTGTTCTGTGTCAGCCCTGAGCCCTGACACCTTCTCTACAGGGGCTGAGGCCTTGGTCAAAGGGTGCATCTGGGATTCCAGTCTTCTCAGGCTACTTCCAAAGGGCCATTGACCAGTTTTGAAACCTCTTTCTAGATGGTTCCAGATGCAATGTGGCTTCTAAGAACTTTTTATGCTCAGGAAAGAGAAGTTAAGATGACCTCCCACCAAAGCAGATGGAAGGATCTGCTCCCCCAGAGTCCACTTGGAGGAAGACAGGAGAGGAAAAGGGGTTCAACTTGACCTTGACACACTAATAATGCAAGTTTATTGCAGATAAATGAAAGGACAAATGCTTTCTGAAGCATCTCCTGTTAACTAGAGTTAACATTGGGTCATATGTACTTTCATATGTCTATGATACACAGGCCTTCTCAAATATGCACACATTGTCTTAAGGCAGGCTTCCTAGAAATGGGCCTGAGACAGGCAGGTGCTGGGATCCATGCTCCCAGCCCATGGGGCGTGGATGCACCAATTTACTGAAGGATCCTGGTAGGGCACTGATAGAGGATTTCTGGATTCTAGAAACAAAGATACAGTTCAATATGCATATGCATTTAAAAATTAAGCCTGCATTTACTTTGAAATGTGCTAAAAAATTAAAATGGTTTGATGAATACCAAATGATAGAAGTGTAATAAAGCCGGTATAGAATGAATGGTGGGTAAATAGATAACTCACTTAACTGTATGTTTACTTTTTTTAAAGATAATAAAGCACTGATAAATCAAAGAGGGATTATACTTATGTACTCCTCAGATTTTGCTTTAACATATTTAAAACTTTTTTTTTTTTTGGCAACCCTAGGGATTGAACCAAGGCCTCATGTATGCTAGGCAAACACTCAAACACTGAGCTACATTCCCAGCCCACATCTTTCAATTTTTATGACTTTGCATGTTTGTCATTTTTCATGGCTGGGACGAAATACCTGAGAAAACAACGTATTGGAGGATTTATTTTGGCTCATGGCTTCAGAGGTTCCAATCCACAGTTGCCTGGCTCCATTGTTTTTAGGTGTGGTGAAGCAGAACACCATGGTGGGGAGCTTGTGATGGAACAAAGCTGCTCACCTCATGACGGCCAGGAAGTGTGTGTGTGTGTCCAGGCCCAAGATCCACCCTTCAAAGGCACATCCCAGGGACCTACTTCCTCCAACCAAGCCCCACCTCCTCCCAGCCCATTCAGTGTGAACTCATCAATGGATAACTCATTGGTGACGTTAGCACCCCATGATCCAATCACCTGTCAACAGTGCCACCATCTGGGACAAGCTTTCAACACATGAGCCTTTGGGGGACACTATGAGCTAGGCTCATGCTTGTAATCCTAGCACTCAGGAGCCAGAGGCAAGAGGATTGTGAGTTCAAGGCCAGACTGGACTACATAGAGAGACTCAGACTCAAAATACCAAGGGCTGAGGATTTAGCTCATGGTAGAGGGCTTGCCTAGCAAGCCCTGGGTTCAATTTTCCAACATGCTAAAAAAAAATAAAAAAAAAAAAAGAGAATGTCTTGACATTTTAGTTTGTCTGTCCATCTGTAGAGTGCCTGTCTCCTATCCCCTGGGGGTGCCCACTTGGGGGTGTTTGCCTCTCAGTCCACTCTCTAAAGTTTATGTGTAAATGTAAGAGCTGAAAGCCATGCAGGGTCTCAAAACTGACTCAGAGATACAAGCATATGGCAAAAATTCAGTGTCATTAGCTTACAGTGAAAAGTGAGCCCCCGCCTGCTCCCCTCCTCACAGGTATCCCAATGCCCCCTTCTGTGCATTCTCCCAGACAGACTTGTGCCATATAAAAGCTTAACTGCATCCTTTATAGAAAAAACTACGCATACTATTTTGCACTTTGCTTTTCCCCAAACAATGTAATTTGGAGATGATTCGGAGCCAGTGGCAGCATAACTGTTGCATTATTCTGACAGCTGTGTAACTTCCCGTTGTGCAGAAGAATCATAGTTGCCTGAGCCACCCTCCCTCCCCCCCACCTCACAGACATTTTTAGGCTGTGGTGCAGGGAGGACAGGAGAGCTAGCCCTCAGCTGACAGGCTGTGGCCCCCACAGTCAGCCCCAGGCCTCAGGCCTTTCTTTTCAAAAGCTCAGGTAAATTTTGGGAGCTCAGGGTTCTGGGGAGCTTTGCCTTTGTTCCTGGTAAATGAAGTGTGAAGAGATGACAGCTTCATAAAGCCAGAGCTCAGGGACCAACTGCTGTCACTCCTGCTCTAGCCCCCATAGCTCTATTATCTTTCAGACCTGCTTGATGAGCAGGGATGACGGGCTTAGAGCCAGCCAGCACTGAGTAAGCACTGACTAAATACCTCATGGAACTTTTACTTTCCTTCCTTTCCTCCAGGAAGGAAAAGAGAAAGCTCAAAGAAAGAGGGCCTCAGAAAGACTTGGCAACTTGTCCACAGTCACACAGCCAGTCCAATACAGAGATTGGAACCACAGCTTCTTTCCATGACTCTGGCTTGCCCAGTCACGAAACTGAGGGTTGGAGAGAAGAGAGGACCAAACTTTGACATAACAGGAGTCTTTAGTTTTTAAACCCAAATCACTTTCAATAATGCCTGGTCTTGGTGAGCCGAACCCTTTTCATGTGCATTTGTCCAAGTGCCCAATACCAAGTTGTTCTCAGTGACTGAGAAATTGGGATGTTGACTATGCAAGGGTGAGAGGGACAGTGGGGGGAAGCAGTGTGGCCAAGTGTAACCAACTGTCTTGATCCCTCCTCACAGTCCGACTCCATGACAGCATCTCTGAAGAGGGACATCATTACCTGATCTTCGACCTGTGAGTCTGTAAAGGGTGTGGGTACCTGGGCAGGGATGACCTTGCGGGTCCCTCAGCCTGAGAGGTCCCAAATGCCCCCAGGCTGGGCTGCTCTCCTTCTTCTGTGCAGAGCTGCCCCAAATGTGGTCTGCTCACCACCCAAGTCGTGCAAGCTGGTTTTCCTGCTTAAAATACCCACTGCTTTTAACGAGCATCATATATTTATTTCTGTTTCTCTTCTATTTGTGGCCAGTGATGCTGGTTTGCCATTTGTCGTGGAGATATGAAGTTTCCTTTTGAAATAATGGGCTTGGCTCCTGGGTGGGCAGTGAAAATCTGCAATGACGCTGGTCCCATCCATGAAACAGCCCTTGGGATGGCGAGAATGGGGGCGCTGCATGCATGCTGGGTCAGGGAGCATATGGGCAAACTGTACCTTCTACCCGATTTTCCTGTGAACCCAAAGCTACTCAAAACATAAAGAGTATAGGTGGGTGTGGTGGGGGCAAACCTGTAATCCCAGCACTTGGGAGGCTGAGGCAGGAAGATTAAGAATTTGAGGCCGGCCTGGCATACATAGTGAGACCCTGTCTCAAAAAAAAAAAAAAAAAAGACCTAAAACAAACAGGAAACTGCCCATCCATCCTGCCCAACACAAGCCAGGACCCAGTTGGTGGGGGGCGGGGGGCATGCTGGAAAGGGTGTGTTGAAAGACAGGAAGGGAGTTGCAGTAGAGGGCAGCCCAGTGGCCTTGGCCCTGTCTTCCCAGATGACTTCTTGAAGAGCCCCGCCCCCAGGGCACCAGGCTGGGTGGCACCTGGGATCCTGGGGGAGTATGACTCTGTGCCTATCTCCTAGGGTCACTGGTGGAGAGCTGTTTGAAGACATTGTGGCCCGGGAATATTACAGTGAGGCCGATGCCAGGTGAGTGCCAGATGCAGCCTGGCAATGGGATTGGAGTCAGGACATTCTTGCTCACATCAGCTTCTCAAGGGAGGCCTGCCCTCAGCCTTGACCCTTTCCTCTCTCCCCAGTCACTGTATCCAGCAGATTCTGGAGGCTGTGCTGCATTGCCACCAGATGGGGGTGGTGCACCGGGACCTGAAGGTGAGCAACCCGCTGTGGGTGCCTGGGTGCGGCTCACCTGGAAGGCAGCCCACCTTAGGAAGCCCTCTGTCGCTGCAACTTCCCTCCTCCCACAGAGCTTAGTGCCACAAGAATCCCTTTAATTTCCCTGCATTTGGTGGGTGGGAGTATTTTCCCCACTGTCAGGTGAGGAAACTGAGCTCAGGAAGGTGGAGCAGTTGGTTTTGGTCCCCAACTCTCTCCACACCCAGGCCCAGAGGCTTTGTGCCAGGCCAGGTGAGATGCAGTTAGACCAAGGCTGCCGTGGTGGGGTGGAGAAGGAAGAAGTCTGGGTCCAGATACCATCCAGGCCATGCTCCAGCCACTTGGCAGGGAGCATCTTTTCTCTACTCCTCAACTTCCCCACAGTGGGGGTTGCCATAGCAACCCCTGCCCAATTGGTGGGGCTGTCTAGTGAGACAGCACAGTACCTAGGACACAGACGTGCTGCTCCTCTTATTCCAGGATCTCTGATGGGTGCAGGAGAAGAAAAACCGGGCTTGGGGTCCCTGGAGTCCTCCCTCTGCCCACCTAAAGAGAGAGTCTAGGTCTGGCACATGCAACATGGCTCATTCTTGTCAGTACAAAAGACATGGATCTCTCTGCTGGCCTCGGCATGAGCACTTAGTAGTTCATACCATCTTCATTTTGCCAAACAGGACACTAAGGCTGAAAGAGTCCAAGGGATTTGTCTAAAGATGGCATTTTAATTATGGTGAAGCAAGGACGAGGGCACCCTGGCCTTCCAACCCCAGCTCCTGTGACCTCAGAGTTCAGAGGCCAAAAGTAACTTATCCATCTCCTGCTTCTGTACCGGCTCCTTTTAGGGTGATCCTGCTGGCTGTCCACTGAGCCTCTGCTCAGTGACAATGATCTACCTCCTAGGGGGTAGCTCCTTGTACTATCAGGGGACACACGCTTTCTCTTTCCTACTGGGATGCTTTTCCCTAAACCCTAGTTTGGAACCACAGAGATCAAGCTTCCAGCTCCAAATAGCTCTAAAGGGACTTGAAAAGCTTTGTCCTTGCTCCTAAGCCTTTGTGTGCTGCACTCCCCATCCCTTCTCCAGATCTTCCTCATCCTGGATACCCTAGGCATGCGCCAGTCAGTCTGGGTCCCTCTTGGGGCACAGTACTCTGGACAGAACCCCTGCCCCTCTCTGACTATCTTGGGCCATCCATGGCTTCTCGCCTGTGTCCCAGGTAAACTGTTGTGACTCAGTCTAGACTCATGGGCAAGTGTGCTCTGGAAGAGGGTCTCTGACCACATAGCTGGGCTGCTTTCCCCGAAGGCCTGTTCCCATTATAGCTGCAACCCCTGAACACAGAAGAGGAAAAAGGAGAGGCAACCCAGATTCAGGCCACTCTGGATATACTAATTAGTGGCACATTCATCAAATCAGGACAGGATGCTACTGAGACCCAGGACATGTTGGGAACTCAGTCCCCAGAGGACAAAGGAGGCTTTAAAGAAGCAGGCAAAAGGAGCTGTATTTATTTAGGCCTGGGGTTGGTTTACACAGTGAAAGGTCAGAGGTAGTGCCCATTGGAAGTCCCACAGGGGAAGGCTTGAAGGAAGAAGGGAAGTAGCTGTCTCCAGAAACTTGGAGCCCCTCCCCAAGCTAGAAATCTGAGTTCATTAAGCATGTACTGCAGGCACCACAGGGCTTTTTATGGATTCTCTCACTCAGTTAACCGCCCCCCCCGCCCGCCACACACACAGGCACATGCCGAATGTATACTGTCCCCATTTCTCAGAGAAGAAACTAAAGAGCAAAGAAATGAAATAATTTGGCCAAGTTCCACAGCACAGATGTGGCAGCACTGGTATTAGGCAGGCGATCTACTGCTTGAGCCATGCCTCTGGCCCCGGCAGCACTGGTATTAGAAGCTGGGATCATCTAAGCGAGGAGCTCATACTCTCAGTTCCCCTTGTTCTGAGTCCCAAGGCCGAGGGGGACCAGCAGGAAGTGGAGGAATTCAGGGAGCCTGAGCCAGTGGGAGGCAGTAGCCTCAATGCCCCAGAGGCTGGGTGTGGAGCATTCACCTTGTCAGTGGTGGTCCCTTGTTCAAGCCTCACCATCCTTTAGCCTTGAATGGTTAAGATGGGGTTAGTTCTTGTCTTGATTCTGAGTACTTACCAAGTGAGTGAACTTGGTCAAGTCACTTAACCCCTTTGAGCCTCAGTTTCCTCATCTTTATACATATGAGAAATACTTAGATACAACAGGGGCTAAGGGCCTCCCCTCAGCCCCAGCTCCCAACCCTGGGGTGGCAGGGAGAGGAAGAGTCTCTTTGCTGCAGAAGATGGAAGTCTTGCCGTAGGATAGTTTCTGGGCATCAAAGCTCGGGAATCCTGTGGTTGGAGTTGGAGTTGTGGAGTTGTGGGCCCTGGCTTATCCAGCCACCTGTCCTGTAAGCACAGGCCCAGAGGTAAGATGATCAATCCACTGACTGTCTTTTGGCCTCTCCATCCCTCTTTCCCTCTTCCTGGTCCTGGAAAGCCTGAGAATCTGCTGCTGGCCTCCAAGCTCAAGGGTGCCGCAGTGAAGTTGGCAGACTTTGGCCTGGCCATAGAGGTGGAGGGGGAGCAGCAGGCATGGTTTGGTGAGTGGGGCAGGGAATCAAGGGACATAAGACGGGCAAGTCTTTGTGTGACATGTGGACCCTGGGAATGCTCTGACTGGAGGTGGCTGCTGGGCTAGCCACAGCCCAGGGAGCAGGGGTCCCACCCACCAGCAATGGGCCAGTGCGTGAAGCCCACCTGTCTCCCTGGAAGCCAGGCACAAGGGCAGAGCTATCTCTAAAATGGCAACATGAGCTGGATGCTAGTGGCTCATGCCTATAATCCTAGCTGGGAGACTGAGATCAGGAGAATTGAGGTTCGAGGCCAGCCCAGGCAAAAAGGTTTGTGAGAACCCATGTCAACAGAAAAAAGCTGGGTGTGGTGGTATATGCCTGTCATCCCAGCTATGGAAGCAAGTGTAAAATAGGAAGATTGTGGTCCAAGCCAGCCTGGGCAAAAAGCAAGACCCTATCTCCAAAATAACCAGAGCAAAAAGGGCTGACTGGACACATGGCTCAAGCATAGAGTGCCTGCCTAGCAAGCATAAACATGAAGCCCTGAATTCAAATCCTAGTACAGCAAAAAAAAAAAAAAACTTGGCTTCTTTTTTGTTTTTCCTTTTGACACTATTATCATTATTATTTATTTTACTTTATTTTTTTGCAACATGGGTTCTTTATGTGAGCTCACACCTTCATTGCTGGCAGGGGATCCCAGGGGGCTCCCCTGTGTCTCCATGCTGGAGGTCAGTGTGCTGATTTTACAGATGAGGGAACAGGTTAAAAATCTTGGAAAATGTCCAGGGAGCTTGAAAGGGGTAGAGCCAGGACCTCAGCTTAGATGATCCAGCAGGCTTTGGAATTTTGGTAGCATTTCAGCTATCTGAGGCTACTTTTTAATGGACAATATTGATCAGCAGTTAACCACCAGAGCTCTAGGTTCAAATCCCAACTCTGCTATTTATGAGGTGTGTGGCTCTGGGAGAGTCATTTAACCTCTCTGAGCTTTGGTTTCCTTACCTGTAAAATGGGGACAATAATAGCATGTTTCTCAAAGGTTGTGTGAGGGTTACTAGGAGCAGGCACGGGTGTGGGAAGTGCCGTCCCAATGCTTAGAACTCACACTCAGCAACTCGTATCTCTTCCTGTGCTTAGTGGTTAAGATATTCTGGGTGTCCTTGATTTCAGTTGATCCGTTCAACACTGGGAGGTAGTTAACATAGAAATCTCGAATCCTTCACTTGACAGATGAGGAAACTGAGGCCTGGAAGGTAAATAAACCACCCAGGGGATTGAGGGGCAAAGCAGCTCCTACCAGGGAGTGGGCTCAGCTCTCAGCCAAGAATTAACAAGGAAGTGCATTTCATCCTGAAGGCCACCAGCAAGTGGTTGGCAGTAGCTGCTGGGAGGAACAGGAAGGAGCTCTGTGATTGATTAGTGCTGTCTGCTGTAGGACCTGGAGAGGGGATTGGTGACAGGTGTGCTATGTACAATCAGATCCTGTTTAGAGGCTTTGCTGGGGTTGAGTGACACAACCTCAGCTCTGGGGGGCACGGGCTGTTTTCCAGCTCCAGGGCAACCCTCATCCCCTCTCCCGGCAGGATCTTGCTCCAGATTACTCACGTGCCAACCTCTGTGTGTGTGTCTGCCTGTCTGTGTGTCTGGGGAGCAGGGTTCGCAGGGACACCTGGATACCTCTCCCCAGAAGTGCTGAGGAAGGACCCATATGGAAAGCCTGTGGACCTGTGGGCCTGCGGTGAGTCAATGTGAAAGCCAATTTGTCCTCTGAGCCCTCCCCCCAGCTTCTGCCCATCACTGCTCCTCCCTTTATCGCTCCTCCCCACAGGGGGCTTAAGGTTCTCCTGGTCCTCTTCCCAGGGGTCATCCTGTACATTCTGCTGGTTGGGTACCCCCCTTTCTGGGATGAGGACCAGCACCGCCTGTACCAGCAGATCAAAGCCGGTGCCTATGATGTGAGTGTTGCTCCTCTCTCCAGCCCTGCCCCCCTGCTCCCTTCCAGTGAAAGCCAGAGCCCAGTGAGCTCAGACAGTAAGGATGCCCCACCACCCCGCCCCGCCTTCCCAAGCCCATTTAGGTGCCCCATGCACCGATGGGGCGGGGTAGGGGGATGAGTCCAGGGAAACATGAAAGCTGACCAGGGCCAGGTGATGACAAAGGTGCCTAATGATTAGGGACTCAAAGTCATGGGATTTATCCCAGGGGGTGCAGAGGGCAGAAACAGCACCAAAGCAGGGTGATGAATGTGGGAAAGCCCCCACATGGGAAAAAAAAACCATGGTTTTTTCCCTCTCTCTCATATACATAAAATAATAATTAGCAGTTCTCTAGCACTCTTCTGAATGTTTCACATGTATCATTAATTTAATCCTTATCCTAATCTAAGATGCCACAGAACCATTATCACCCTCATTTTACAGACAGGAAGGCTGAGGCACAGAGAAGTTAACTAAGGGCCCAGGTCACATAGCTAAGAAATGGTAGAACTGGAATTTGAACCCAGGTAGTCTGACTCTAATGTGCGTGCTTCTAAATACAAGCTATTCTGCTTTTCTGCAAGTCTGCGTTTTATATGGCATTTAAGCCTCACGATGTCTCCAGGAATGGCTTGAGGGCTCAAGTGACTTCCCCAGGTCTCACAACCCAGAAGGCAGAGACAGGACTTGAACCCGGGCCTCCTGATTCTGCAGTCAGGACTATGACCTTGTCTTCAGACAAGATCCAGGCTCAAAATGACAGTGGGAGGTCTCCTTTCTCTCTAGCCATGTTCTGGACTGTTTTGGGTCAGGGGGCCCAGGTCCTCCCTTAGTTCACAGGAATCTCTCCCAACTCCTGGTTGTGGATGCCTCAGTGGTTGGGCATTAGAACCCCTGCCTGCTCCCCTGCCAGTCAGGGGCTGGGGGATTGCAGGGGTGGTCTGGGGCAGGCTGGGCAAACTTGGCCCCTCTGCCCCTTCCAGTTCCCATCACCAGAATGGGACACGGTCACGCCAGAAGCCAAGGACCTGATCAATAAGATGCTGACCATCAACCCATCCAAACGCATCACAGCCGCCGAGGCCCTCAAGCACCCCTGGATCTCGGTGAGCATCCCTTGGCGGGAACTCCCAGGAGCCCAAAGGTCTTGACCCTGCCCAGCTCACAGCTCCAGTATGGGGGGCAAGGGATTTAATCCTACTTTGGTTGTTGGGGATAACAGGGAAATAAGGGATGTTGTAAGCTGACATCAGGACTGGGGTCTCACTGGCATCGACTGCTGCCAGGCACTGAGCACCCCACATATCCCTTAAAACAAAGAATTATTCTCCCCAAGATGCCACAGCTAGGCCCCTGCTGAGGGGCCCTTGGGCAGGCCTGTCTTCCAGTGTGCCTTCTACTCAAGCTTCTCCCCTTTCCTCTAGCACCGGTCCACCGTGGCCTCCTGCATGCACAGACAGGAGACCGTGGACTGCCTGAAGAAGTTCAATGCCAGGAGGAAACTGAAGGTAATAGGGCCTCGCTCTCCATATTCCTCCTCCCCTCCGGGCTCACTCATTCTTTCCTTTACGGATTTGACAAGCATATTTTGAACACTGCCACAGCAGGCTGGGCTTTGGGGAGCCCATCCCCACCCTATCTGTACTCTGTGGAGAGGACAGACAAGTAACCAGAAAACTGCGGGGCACTGGTGAGTGTTGTGCCTGGCTGATGGTGGGGACGAAGCAGGGCAATGACAATTCCAGGTCTAGAAGGATCCAGGAAGGATCCTGGGAGGCCTTCTCAGAGCCAGTGGCGTTTAACCTGACCCTGAAAGACAAGCAGTTATCAGTCCACTGTAGAGTCAGAATGGGAAGATGGTCCAGAGTAAACAGCCTATGTAGACGTCTGGAAGTGTGAGCATGACCCTGGAAGTGAGGACTATGAGTGGTTCCAGTATCGGGGAGAGCTTGTGGGGCAAGACATGACTGGGCAGGAGACCACACTGAAGTGATTGGCTCCAGCTGCCAAGCACTAAGGAAGAATGAGGACATGGCCCAGGGAGGTGATGGTTGTCATGATGCCAGGAGACCTGAGTCCTACCCACAGTGAGAGCCATGTCACGGAAGGAGCCTCAAAATTAAGAGATCTTTAATAGCAGAGATTGTTGGATTCAGAGTGTCTGAGGTCCAAATCAGACAGTGTCAGGACCAGGAGGGCTTTAGTCCCAGCCTCTTGCTGACAGAGAAGGTTCCTTCAAGTTGAATCCTCCATGATTCTAAGCCCAGGGCCACAGAAGACAGACCAGCTGAGGCACACATGGTCTGATGTCCTTGCCCATGCAGGAAACTTCCATGGCCTTTAGGAGTGCCCACTGCTAGGTGTCCTCATGTCCATCAGCTTTGGCCAGGCTTTGGGACCTATTAATATCTGTGCCTGGGATGGCCCTGTCCCAAAAGATGTGTCAGCCAATGCCAGCTTCTCCAGGAAGAGAAGATGGGCTCTGGGCCTCAGGGTGGGGGACAAATGGAGGGACAGGGGCACAGGCTCTGACTTCATGTTGGAAGGGTGCTCTTGCCAGTCCTTTCCCATGCCCCTCCTGTTCCCCTCTCTCCCCTTCACCTCTGCCTTCCCAACCCTCCTCTTATCTGTTGCAGGGAGCCATCCTCACCACCATGTTGGCCACCAGGAACTTCTCTGGTAGGTTGTGGGGCCAGACCCCCACCCCCAGTAGTACATCCTTCACTGATCTGCTGGGAGCATTGTCCTGTTGGATAGTTGGGCATCCCCAGAGTGGGGTCTGCAAAAGACATCATGACTAGGGCTTAGCTCACCTGCCACAAACGTGTACCCAGAAAGGAAAGGAGAGAAGTCAAAGGTCAGCTAGCCACAGAGGACCAATTAGAGTGTCAACTGGTTGTCCTGTCACACAGCAGCACTGGGGCTCTCAAGCTGGACCAGCTAGAGGTAAAGGCTTCTGGATGATTTGGGGTTCAGGTTCAGGAGGATGGAACCAGGCCCAGGGACCACCAATATTGCCCCAACATTGCTGGAGCCCTGTGCTAAGCAAGCCTCAGGCTTCCACTTAGCTGGCCTTCATAGCAAGACAGTGAGGGCTGTTGCCATTCATCTTTTCCAGATGAGGAAACAGAAGTTAATGGAGAGGTCTGCTCACAGGACAGAGCGTACCTTCAGCACGGGTCTGACATACCCAGAGCTAGTGACTATAATCAGCCTGGGTCACCAGGGAGACCCAGGCAGGAGCTTGCCAGGCTCCTGTCCAAAGCCAGGCTGGTTAAGGCAGGGAGTGTCACCCAAAGAGAGAAGGAGAAGGGATCATTGTCAGCGTTTAGCAAGCAGCTCCTCTTGGCATGGGCCAGTGCCAGGCCAGAACTGCCCAAGGACAGTCTCTGGGGGAGCCCTGAGTGCTGACGTGGCAACAAAGCAGATATAGACCGCAGATATGGCAAAGCTCACTCCAGGGGCCCTGAGACTGGGTCTGGGCCAGCACAGATGGCTGCCTGCCTTGGGCATTGACTGGACCTACAGCCAGGAGTCAGCTCTGAGCAGGATGCAGGCCTGGCTTCCACGAGAGGGTCCACACGTCCATGCTGGAAAAAGTGAGGCCAGCATCAAACTTGGGCTTGTCTCCCACATCAAATTCTCATTTGACAAGGATCCTGTAGTTCCTTAAACTGAAAGCTGAGACTCCCAGACTGTCAGAGTCTTTTTTTAACAACAGTAGCACTTGGAGATTGCTAGTCTAGAGCTCACAGTAGAGGGACCCATGGGGTTGGATCCCATCTCAGGAACAGAGGTTTTGTTTTGTTCTGTTTTGGTTCTTTTTTGTTTGTTTGTTTGTTTGATCTACAGCATGAGGGAAAAAAAAGAAAAGAAAAACTCTAGAATGGGTTTCCAGTCTTGAAATCTGAAAATCAGATTTCATAGAAAATCCCAGGTTTCTGTGATCTCTTGAAAATCAGAGAGTGGTCTCATTAGATAAAAATCCCTCTAATAGTAGGCTAGAAATAAGAGGCTGCCTTCCTTCAGACTCTAGGGCAAGTGTCCCCTTCCCTGCTGTTCATCCTGGTCTAGCCCACAAAGCCTATGGGGGATAGACAGCCATTTTTCCAGGTTTGGGACACAGCGGTGGCTCCTGCCCCTTGGTCTGGAAGTGGGAGACTTAGATGAGAGCCTCCAGGAGTCAAAGGTAAGAATGTAGAGGGACAGGAAGCAGGGCCAGCCATGCACGCCCCCATGCTGAGCCCCTGGGGCATCAATGTCCTGTTATGCCCCTCCCTTCCCCAACCCCAGCTCACTCTCTCCAGGGTACCACTTAGTGAACACCAACTGTATATAAGCTGAGTACTGTGCTAAGCACTTTGGAAACGCCTGTCTCATTTAAGGCATTTGCTTAAGGTCTGAAGCAGCTGGATGCCTGGTGGGGCTGGACTGGGCAGTCATGCCATTTCCTGGCTGATACCCACTGCCAGGGCTCCAGCCAGGAAATAAGGAGGGAGGGAAGGGGAAATGACTGAGGTGGAGGCCTCCCTGAGTAATGTTGCTCTGTTGTTGTCTGCCACCAGGGAGGGACACAGTCAGCCCCAGTGTGAGGCTCCAGAGTCTGAGGTTGGGGAGGCCTAAAGGCAGGGGGTAGTTGCTACCCTACAGGGGTAGGCCCCAGCAGGGGGACATCTGCTTCTTGTCACCAGCAAAACGCAGCCTGCAGCTGTCCAGAGTGAGTAGGCAGGGCTGACACATGACCTCTGCAGCAGCATGAGGCTAAAATTAGAGAGGGCCAGGGCAGATGGGGGGCAGGGGAGGAGTGTCCAGCCCCTGGCTAGGCAGTGGGCCTCCGGGTTGGCCATCGCCAGCACAGTGGTAACCAGGATCCAGAGGGAATCCCCAGGCTGAAACAACAACCCTGCAGTCTCAGGGCACATTGGACGCCTCCTCAACCCATGAAGCCAGAGAATTATACTTGAGATTGCGGAGAACTGGGGATCCCAGGCCCCTTAGTGGGCCACTGGCAGTCCCTGGGCAGCTGAAGAGGGAGGAGAAACAGGAGGAGGAAGAAGAGGGAATTCCCCCCAGTTGCTAAGCCAGCTCCGTGTCTGCACTGTCCACCCTCCAGCTGCTCCGGCTGCTCGTGGATGCTGCTCTTCCTCACCCTATGGGCCTTGGTGCCCTGCTTGGTGTTACTAACCCTGTACTTTTTCTCCTCCACAGGAGGGAAGAGTGGAGGAAACAAGAAGAACGATGGTGTGAAGGTAAGCCCCTTGGGAGCCCAGCAGGCCTGTCTTGGACAGGATCTCTGTCCATATCAGGCCTAGGGCAAGATCCAGGCCTTGCTGATGGTCTTCTGAGAAGGCACAGGTCATATATGTGGCCAGAATCTCCTCAGAACCCTAGGCCTGGGCTCTGGTGCCCACCTCTTACCTTGCTTGGTTGTGGCAGGTAGTGGGGGAGTGGCCAGAAGAAGTGAGGGGCAGGTGGCTCTGGGTTGGGGTGAGTATGAGGAAAGGAGCAGATCAAAAGGAGTTTCTGGGGCTCTCCAGGACTGGAGGATTTGTGAGCAAAAGGTGTAAGAGGGACAGAAATGGTGGTGAGGGGTAATTTCTTCCTGCCCAAGTGTGAGTGGGCTGGAATGGGCCCTGACTTGACGCACACACTAGGCCCACCCAGAAGGCCCATGGAGGATGGACAGCCATTCCTCTTGGCTTTGGATTCAGAGGCCTCCTTCCCTTCCCCTGCTTGTTTAGTGCCCAGGATCTCCTTCTCCCCTCACCAGGCCTATCCCCTGTGCCTAGTCCTGATGCCCGAGCTACTTACCTGCACACGCTGCTGGCCCTTCTTCCCTTCTTTTCTCTCTTCTCACTCTGCTCTCTGGGGCTTGGTCCCCCTACTCTCTGTGTCCTCCCACTTTGCCACCCAATCGCCTAACAGATTCTCATCTCTGGAGACCCTGCTCTGGGTTCAGTGCCTGCCTGGCCAGATCCCGGGGCTGGGCTGGGCCCAGGACATTGGAAAGTGTGAGATGCTGTGCAAATGCAGCCACCCAGTGTGTTGGTGGCTGTATGGCTTTGTTTATAGTGGCATTTATGGTCTCAGGTCACTGGCTTTGATCTGTCAAGGGTTACATGGGAGGAGTCTGGGCTGGAGGGCTAATGTCAGGACTGGGCCCCCCTCTGCCTTTTGCCTTCTTCCACTTGAGGTTCCCTTAGGTAGGATGGAGTGAGATGTGGACTTGGTGATCATTTTCCAAACTTCAGCTTTAAAAACAGACATACAAAAAGCAATAAAACCCCTTCTAATCATTCTCCCTTCTCATCTGGAGTGCAAGATGCAGTCATGTGCCGTGTGTGCAATGGTGATTCCTAAAGATTTTTTTTTTTCCTGAAGATTATGATGGAGCAGAGAAACTCCTTTTGCCTAGGATTTTAACTGTACCTCTTTGTTTTTCTTTCTTTTTTTTTTTTTTTTTAAGACTGGGTCTTGCTATGTAGCTCAGCTGGTCTAGAACTCCGGGTCATCCTGCCTCAGCCTCCCAAGTGCTCGGATTACAGGCATGCACCACCACTATAATCCTTACTGTATCTTTTCTGTGTTCAGATATATTTAAATACACAAATACCATGTGTTACAATTGCCTACAGTATTCCATACAGTAACTGTACAGGTTTGTAGCCTAGGAGCAACAGGCTCTACTGTGTGGCCTAGGTAAGTGTAGTAGGCTAGGCCTATAATGTTTGCACAATGAGAAAATCTAATGATGCAGTTCTCGGAACATGTCCCTGTTGTTAAGTGATGTACAACTATACGTAATTATTTGGTTACTAGAAAAAAACACTGGTTTTCAAACTGAACTCTTTGGAGCCCAAAGGCTCTGGCAACAGATGAGATGGAGTGGGATTAGAAAGGGGGAGGCCTATGTCACAAGGTTCTGGACTTCCCACACCCATTTCAGCCAGAACAGTGCCTTAGCACAGCCATCACAGGGATAAGAACCAGGCAGGCTCACCAACAGTTGGACCAGGGCTGGTTATTTCAACCCCCTGAGCCTGGCCTTCCTCTTTCACCTCCTCTGGCCGTTTGTGAGGATTAGCTGGGATAACATGCACTCAGAGCTTAGCGTACATGCTTAGGGGATGTGAGTCAGAATTATCTTTTCTGTTTTATGTGTTAGACTTTCAGGTAAAATTTCTCTCAAAAACAGAGGTGGCTCAAAAAAATATTTGGAAACCACAGCTCAAAAGCTACCCCAGTCTGTAATTTAACATATACCCAACCCAAATCCTGCAGTGGACTCTGGCTTGCCTGCTCTTGGGGTCCCCTGAGCTGCCTCTTCCTCCCAATGCACATGGGTAATAACAGGGTGGGGTAGTAGGGTGGGGGCTACAAGTTTGGAGTAGTGGGGCCCTCTCTGATGCCAGTGTTTAGATGCTGAGCTGAGGGTGCTGGCCCCTGGGGAAGGCCATCTTTTTTTACCCCAATTTGAAGTATGTGGTGGCAGAGGCTACAGGCCCTGGTGGTCCGTGCCCAGGTCAGTGGAAAAAGAGGGGGCAGAAGGAGAGGCTGCCTTGGTTGGCCTGACTGTCAGATGCAGCCCTGACAAAAGCTGGTAGAAAGTCATGGGCATGGGGTCAGGAGGGGTCTCCCTCAGGCTGGCTCTGGGGATGCAGCTGTAAGTCTCAGTCCTCTAAGGCAAGGCCAAGCGGTAGAGGCTAGCAGAGGGCAAGGTCAACTCAGACCATGGGGTCTATGTTGTCCCTACAGGGCTTTCCAGTGGGCACAGCTGCACGAAATGTCCTTACTTCCTGCAGTACAGGACGGACCCTGAATGACTTGTCAGGGTGACTTGGATATGGGTGAAGGAAGAGAAACTCAAAGGCCATCCCTGGCCCAACCACCTCTTTGTAGCTCAGACACCTTCCTTCCATCTAGGAGGGAGTCCAGCTGGAAAAGAACTCGGAGTGCCTGGCCTAGGCTCTGGGGAATCGAGCCTGCTATAAGTTACTCCAGTGGGGCTGCAGGAGTGTGACAGTCATGTTTCCTCAAGTCAAGAAGTGTTGGGCTTGAGTCTGGGCCTCACTGCTCCCTCCCCTGAGGACCTGATCCTGGTCCTGTTTGTGATCTGTGCGAGGGAGTACAGCAGCTGTTTGCGAGGACTGGTGTAAGGGTCTCACTGTGGAACCTGGTGGAGTCACAGCCTAATGGACACCGCCCAGCTGAAGGGGAAAGTCCATAAATAAGTCCTTAGAGACAAAACATTCCACCTGGGGTGGAATGGGACAGGCAGTGGTTATCTGGTTGCTGTGGGGAAAGGCCAGCTCAGCTGGATCTACAGAAGACACTTGCCTGTACCTCATGGGTCTTTAAGAGCTCTCCAGGGCTAATGTTGACTGTACTGAGTTTCCACCACCTTTGCATACCTTAGAACTTCGTTTCTGCATGTGAGATGCAAGCGAGATGACGCCACTTTCCGTGAAAGTCCCTTTCCAATCAAACTCTGAAGTGTTGGTCAGCCAGGATTATCAGTGTCGCCCTCCTTTGTGATTCAGAAGCAATGCCCCACCCTGGCCATCCCTAGGCCTCAGCTACTACTTTCTACAAGGAGTGGTCCACCGCTCCCACCCCTCACCCCACTCACTGCCCCTGTTGGTGTCCTATCCGTGCCATTGTGACCTCTCTCCCCATGTCCCATCCTGTCACTGTGCGTCCAAATCTGATGCAGTCTTTGCTCTGTGTTCCCTTTTCGTGTCCCGCCTGAAACCTCCTGGCCCCTGCGTGGCTCCTCAGGTTTCTGCTGACAGCTGAGCTGTGTGGGCCTGTCCCCTTTCTCCAACACCCTGGGCCTGGTCTGGCTCCAGCCAGGGAGGGAGGCCAACACTAGTAGGAGAGGAGAATAGAGAAGAGGAAAGGAGAGGGGCTGATGCAGGTTGTTGGCTGTAAAGTCACACTGTCCAGCAGCTGAGAAGATACAGGGTCCAGGCATTCATGTCCCCATCAGCACATGAATGTGAAAATGCCCAGTGAGCTGTGCTGCCACATCTGTGCGGGCCCTGGTCACAGGTGCAGAGTTAGGTCCTGGCACACACAGACTCACTGAATCATGGAATTAGAAAGTCCAGGAGTAGACCTGAGACCCTTGAGAACTAGCCAGTACCTCCCATGGCAAAAGCCTACCTGGGGGGCAACTCCAGTCTCTGCTCTGCTTCCCCTCACCCTGCCAATGGGGCAGCAGGGCCAGGGGTCTCCTGACCTCTCAGACATGAGGGAATTCAGGAAAGGATGAGCCTGTGAGAAGGGCACAGGCTGTGGGTACCAGGAGCCCCAGTCGGAGGAAAGAGCCCTGTAACAGGCCTGTGTGCCAGCCTCAGTACTGACAGTGGCTTGCTAAGAGAGCTGGGGCAGGTCACTAAGCCTTAGTTTCTCACCTTGGCTTTACAGCCAATAAAAGGAAGGCTATAGACCCCCAAATCTAAGCCAATCAGCAGGGTTACAAGACTCATGGTCTAGACTCAAGTTCACGTCCACCTGTGATTCAGTTTCTCTATCAGCATAAAGGAGCTGAATAGGATTGGCACTGGGAAATTGTGAACACAAGCAGGACTTCAAAGGCCACTTAAAGGGCTGGCTCCTACAGCTGACCTTATATTCCCAGTATCTCTGGGAATATTGCTGAAAAAAGAGATGCCCCACACCTAGCTGTCACACTCCTCTGAGGGGACCTGGTTTTGTAATTTTTGACAGGTTTTCTAAGGTTGGGGACATAGCTCAGTGGTAGAGAGCTTGCCTAGCATGCACAGAGCCCTAAGTTCCATCCCAGCACTGCAAAGAAAAAAAAAAAAAGTTTCCCAAATTTCAATGACATTCACCTGGGAGTGGGATTCCCCTTAGCAGAGATGCATGGAGAGCCTAGAGGAAAGCATTTGGCCTCATCTCCAGGCCTGAGCACCCTTTTGTCCTTCAAAAGCTTGGATTCTGGAGAATCCAAGACAGCTGGCATCCAAGAGGCAGGACTGGCTTCCCCCAGAGTGAGGTGTGGTGGGTAGCTCTGATCCAAGGCAGGCTTGGTCTTGAACTTGGCTGTTAGACTCAGCAGATTCAGGCAACTGTGCATTAGGATCCAGAACTTCAGGCTAAGAAGCCTGGCCCTGCCGGGCCAGCTGTTGTTGGTAGCCCTGACTCCTTGTCCCAATGGCAAAGAACCACAGAGGATGACACTGAGGCCCATCCTCCTTCCAAACCTCCCATCTGTCGTTTCTCTGCTCCCTGCCGTTTTCACGCTCTGTCTTTTCCTGTCCCATCTCTTCTCCTTGTTTTTCCAGAAAAGAAAGTCCAGTTCCAGCGTTCAGTTAATGGTGAGTGTCTGCCGTCTCCCAAACGCCGGTAAATGCTGGGCCTCGGCCCCTTGCTCCCTTGCTCCTGCAGGCTGCATGGGAACCCAGGGCGGGGAGAGAGTGCTCAGGGCGTGCTTGGTACGTGTGCCTTGTGTGACAACATGTGTGTTGTGTGTGTGTGTTGTTTGCGTGTTTCTGTTGACACCTCCAACTCCACGGCCCAGACCAGCAGGCAAACAGCAGACCTGACATTTCCCTTGGTTCCAAACATGGATTTGAGCCCAAGCCCATGTCCAGTCCTTGGATTCTGGCTTCCCCCCACCCCACCCCCACCCCTCTGCTCTAGAACTCATTTCAGGACTTGGTTTGTGCCAATTGTGGCCAGGGTGGGGCTTGGTTTGGCTGAAGCAGCAGGTGCCATGGTGGCCCTCTGAGCTTGTGCAGGCCACCATGGAAGAGGAGTCACAGTCCTGCCTCTGTCTAGGGCACCAGCAGTGGCACTGTGGCCCATGTCCCTCTTCTTCTGGTTCCATGGCTGTCTCACTCAGTTGTGTGGTTTTTCTCCCCTCTGAAAAGCCCACCCTTTCTCACACTGGGCCTCCCTCTTTCTGTCTTCTGCTCCTGCCAGTGTGTATTCCTTCCCCATTCTGTGGCCACCATGGTGTCTCTCTGCTCCTCCCCACCCACTCTTTGCCCCCTCGAGCAAAAGGGACCCAGCAAGACCCTCTCAGCCCTCCCAGAAAGGTCAGGAATCTCCTTGCAGGTAGCCTTTCATATCAGCCCCACTCCCAGCCACCTGCTTAGCTGGGCTGTCCTCAGGCTGGAAGGTCTGGCAGAGTTTTCAGGCAGCATCTGGACACAGAGCCGGGGAGGCATGCAGAAGCCGAGCACCTCATCAGCTGGGGCAGCCCTGACTGGCCACGCTCTGCCCTGCTCGCCAGCCATACCTCACCGCCTCCCGTGTTCTCTTTGGCAGGAATCTTCAGAGAGTACCAACACGACCATTGAGGATGAAGACACCAAAGGTAGGGAAGGGCCTTGCCTTTGGTATCCGGGCCCCCAGACTTCCTGGCGCTTGCTAGGCAAACCCCTGCAGTGGGAGCTCCCTACAAGAAGTGCCCCATGCCAGCCTGTTTTCAGCCCTTCTGCAGAGTCTAGCTTTGTCTCCTGACAAGTGGGAGTGGCTTCCCCATGAGGGTACCACGCAGATGGGGTTTCTTATTTTAGGGTAATGGATTTACTTTATTGTGTATTAGAAAAAAATTAACATCTTCAACTCATGAGTGTATAGCAGTGACATAAATTTTCCTTTGGAAATAAGTGTTCTTGGGTTTTTGTTTTTTTTTTTTAAACTGAGTTTACAACAGGAAGTAAGAAGACTGAAGAAAGGGAGAGAAAAAAACCCAGAAAGTTGGTTGGAGTATGGGAAACCCAAACCAACCAAAGCCAACAAAACTTCAGGGATTACTGTAGTTAGTGGCTAACAGTCCTCAAAAGTTCTCAGATGCGCCAGGTGTGGTGACAGGTGCTTGTAAACTCAGCATTCAGGAAGCTAAGGTAGGAGGATCTTGAGTTCAAGTCCAGCCTGAACTAGGTAGCAAGACCTTATCTCAAAAATAAATTAACAAATAGATAAAAACCAAAAACAAAGAAAGAAAGAAAGCTCTCCTATGGATGAGGGAGCAAAGATACCTGTGATGGTGTCTTTGTAAGAGAAGAAATAACAATAGCACCCTACAACTTACGATCCTTGCCAGGCTAACATAGCAGAGCTGCACAACAAACCCAAACTGCAACGGGCTGCATATTACAGCGGAGGACCCAGGACTGAGAACCTGGGCAAATTGGCCCAAAGGCCTGCAGCTTCAACTGGTAGGGTTGAGATTTGAACCCAAGCAGTCTGGCTCCTGAGCCTGGCTGGCAGGCAGCTGGAGGCCTTAGTGTGGCAAGTGCCAAGAGCTTTCAGGAAGGGACACAGTGCTGTCTCTAGGCAGAAGACACAAATCCTTGATGGTTAGCAATGTCCTGCTGTGCTGCCCTCACTGGGCACCTGGCCCTCCTTGTTTCCCATGGGAGACTGGCAGATTTAGGGATTTGCACACTTCTGGGAGTGGCAGAGCCACCTGGGGAGACTCTGAAATAAACAAAGCAGCTGACCTGGAGGGAACTCAGCTGTGCCAGTTGAGACATCTTTCAGGAGTGCGGATTTTTTGCCTTGAACGAATACAATGGGTCTGAGGGTGTGGTTCAACTATGGAGCACTTGCCGAACACGCATGACACCAGCACTGGAAAAAGAGAAAAAGGACATGGTTGTGGGCGAATACTTTATCATGTCTTTTCTTTTCACAATTGCAATTTAGGCTTTTTTTTTTTTTTGACACACTGCATATTATGATGGCCTCTTAACTCTGCCAGCAGCCTAGGAGATGGGTCCAGCCTGTGGCTGTCCCTTTCTGGCATTCCCAGCTTGTGGGAGAGTGACAATACCTTGGCCAGGCACTCTGTCATGATAACTAGGCACTAGCCAGTCAGTCTTCTATGATAGCCCTGGAACCAACTTTACAAATGCCTTCTCCTGAAGGACAGCCCACTAGGGTCCAGGAAGTCACAAGTTCTGTCTAATCCCATTCCCAGCTCTGTCTTTGCACATCCCAATTCCTTAAGTCTGATGTCTCCTCTAAGATACTCCCGGATTTAAGGCTCTCTGTCTTAATAATAAGGGATGGACTCTGGGATTCTGAGGCAATTGATGAGGCCTCATCATCCTGGTGTCAAAGCAGACAGGAACTGTGGAGGAACCTCACACTGTACTTCTCCACCAGAGTTCATTTGCTGGGTGACCTTGGACAACTTACTCAACCTCTCTGAGCTGCAGTTTCCTTAATAGTAAAGAAGTGATGATATTAGAATCAACCTCAGAGATTACTGTGCAAATGAAATGAGAGGCTGCTTATACAGTGCATGAATTTGACATGTGGTAATGTTTAAAATATCTTAATGTCTTTTTGTTTTTCAAACTGGAGTTCATGGTTGAAGGATAGGAAGCCCCATGACATTTGCTTGGAAAAATCAATTTTACTCAAAGACTATTTTAAGACAAATATTTACATGTTAAACAGACAGAGAACTATTTGGAAAAGAGTGAAGAATTGTGTATGCTGTTAATATAAAACAGGAGATGGAAAGGATGCCTTCCACCTGAGATAAGGGCTTTGAGCTGCACCCCGAAGGCCCCGCTGAGCCACTGTTAGCCTCTGCTTTCAAGGAGTCAGGATGGGATCATTTCCCTTCGGTTTCAGTTCACCTCTGCCCCTCTTACAGAAAGAACTCTGGAGCCCACAGAGGAGGAAGGGCACATGTGGATTATTAATTGCAGAGCTGGGATGGTGTTCTCTGCCTCAGTTTCCCCACATGTGAAAAGGCCCCAAAGGCCATGCCTTGGGGAGAGAAGAGCCCTTGTGCCTCCCCCAGATTCCCCAGCTCAGAGAAATTACCCCAGGAACCATTTTCTGGTGTTAACTTGTTAAGCCTTCTCTAAGTGAGGATAGCAGCTGACTGGTGGACTCTGACATGACATGAGAGATAATTAGAAATGTCATCCTCCAAGGAACAACTTCCCCCCCACCCCCGAGGAAGGGAAGAGACATGAATATTTCAGAGCACCTCTGGACTTATGCAAGGCCTCTTGCCCTCTGCGCTGTGCCAGACTCTGCCAGGCTTCCTCTCCACTTCCCTGCCTCCTCCTGATCCGCTCTATGCAAAATCCATTTTCTCTCCAACCTGAAAAGCTGCTTCGGAAACTGAGCATTCTGGGAAATATCAGTCAGGAATGCTGGTTCCATCTCAGCCTCAGTATGCTGTGTGTTCTTAGGAGAGTGCCATAACCTCTCTGGAGGCTCAGCTTTCCCATCTGTAGAAGGGCATTCCTGGGTTGTCTGTGTGAGCCTCTGGTAAGAAGAAATGCCAAAGGTGGCTACTGAGCAGCTGCTGGATAAACTCCTCTCCCAGCTGCCAGGCTGCTGAAGGCATAGAAAGAGCCCAGACCACAGACTTCAGGTCCAAGAAGCACCAGGACCAGATCTGCAGTCCTAGAAAACAAAGATAGGGAGATCGCTGCTCACTGCACTTCAACTGTTGGCAAACTTGGTGCCCCAAGTGGTTGGAGGCAGAGCCAAGTTAGTGTCTCAGGCTGTGTTCATGGAGGTATTATGTCCAGAATTGGGGAGGGAATAGGGAGTGATACTCAAAACCTGAAATCCTGCATTATTCAGTCCACAACTGAGACTGTGTGTCACACTCAGACAGGTGTCCAGACAGCTCAGGGACCCTCAAGGGGTAGTTGACCAGCTTATGGAAATCACATTCTGCAGAATGAGTCCAGAAGCCTGGTTTAGAGAGAGGGCAGATGATCACATCAGAGCTGCAGAAAGCAGAAAGAAGAGCAGACTGTAACTAGGAGCAGGTCTCAACTTGAAAGAGGACAGAGGTACACATAGCGAGAATGGTGTAACTGCAGTGGGCTGCCTGGCAGGCTGCCCTGCCCTGCCCTAGCCAGGCAGTGACACAGGCCTCTCTGCTCAGGATGAGCTTCCAATTTGGAGATTCCCAAATGAGAAGCATCACAGCTCTGTTCACAGAGCACCAGGCATCACCATTTACATAATCCAGTTGATATTATGATGTTGATGAGACAGCAGCTGGCTCTTAGCTGTTTCTGTCAATATATTCTTAATTTTCAGACCATCCCTATAAGGTAGGTACTATTAATATCTCCATTACAAATGTAGGGAAACTGAGGCGCAGGGCAGTCCCTTGCCCAAGGGCAGGCAGCTTCAGAAACCAGGCCCTCTACCACTTTGCTGCACCCCCCCTCCCTTGCCACAGTGGCCCTGAAAAGCAGCCCTGGAGACAGCACATTAAGTAGAGGCTCATTAAATGACAAGCTGGAGGGTCTCAAAGTCCATTCGGAGAAGGCGAAGGTGGTGGCACAGGTCCCACTCGTCCCCTTGATTTCATGTTGGAGTGGCTATGCCAAGGTGGTTCCTGGTAGGGTCATCTCTTCCCATCCTCAGTTGCAGCTTCTGTGACTCTGGACAGAGCTGACCAGGAGATGAGGTTCTGGAGTGCATAGGGACACAGGTGGCTGGGTAGTTGGGCAATTCCAGGGTTGGAGAAAAGATGGCAGACCACACTCCGGTTTGGACCCATCTATCCATGTATTCATTCAGGCTACATGTGTGTATTGAGTGCTGCCTCTGCCCTAGCTCAGGCAAGGACCCAGAGAGAGGGGAACAACATGTGTCACCCGGTGACACTCATGCCCTAAGATGGGTTCATTCCCAGCTCAGATGATTCTAGTTGGAGCCAGGAGAGGAAGCAGTGTCTGCTCACTGAGGTGACCAACACTGATCATCATTATACCATTTCCTGAGTCCACATGTGGCAAGGGCTGTGCCAGGGCCCAGATGTGGGGAGAGCGTGATGGGTTTTAGAGCTGCAAACTCTGGCTGGGTCCCTGCTCTACCAGAGCAGTTATTTGGCTTTGTCACCTCCAGTTTCTTCGTGGTGATGTGGCCGAGATTCTGTAGGCTAGGTACTAAACACACAGCCTGAAGCCGGGCCTACTCACCCATTCATTCAGTAACGAAGGCCTGAGGGGGCGGACCTGATCCTGTCTCCAGGCAGCCGGGCACAGCGCCACATCACCTGTGTCAAGCAGAGAAGGAGCCAAGTACACGCGTCAAGCAAGTGTGTGCACTTAGCATTACGAGAGCGTGGGCTGGGGACCAGGGGCCTATGAAAAAGGCCTTAAGCTGGGCTCCCGTCTCTGTACCTGTATTTCCCAGGTCCTGGCAGTCACAACCCCTCAGTGGGCTTCAGTTTCTACAGTAGTTTGGGAAGGAGGGGAAGTCCCTGGTCTCCGAGCGGTCTTCCAACCTGGGTAGTTTGTGATTCTGTAGCCCCCAGGACTGAGGTGAGCTCCTGAGCATGGGGCAGGGCCCCATGAGTGACCAGTCAGGGCCCAGCCAGGCCTGGTCTCCATCCCCGCTTCTAGACTGAGAGACACCAAGGCCCACCCAGAGCCACTTTCTGTGCAGTGTGTTGTCTCCCTCACCAGGCAGGCCACTGAAAGGACTAGGTTTGAGGTTAACCTTGATCTTGGGGAAGAGGGAAAGAGGGCCTGCCCTGGAGAAACTGAGGCAAGCTTTTGCTAGGCTCTTCTGGGTTCCAGGATACCTGGCTGCAAACGCTAGCACCACTGAGGCTCAGTCACCTCATGTGTGACATGACGCAGGCTGGCCTTGCCCACCTCCCAGGAGTCTATAAGAAGGCAACCCTGATGGCGCTGCAGGAATGGAAGTGCTTGTATCTGCTAGGTTCCAGACTTTGGGACAAGTGCTCCGTGGTCATCACCTCATCCCACCTTCACACCAGCTCTGGGAGGAAAACACTGTCATCTCCATTTGACACACCAGAGAACAGTCTTGTGGCCCACAGCTGCACAGCCTGCGAGGACCTGGGCTGGGACTTAGATGAGTGATCCACAACTGAAACTTGCGTTCTTTCCCCTACCATTCTGCTCTAAATGAATGACAGGCGGTAATGTGCCAATTTCACATATGGGAAAACTGAGGCCCAGATCATCACACATGGGAAGACTGATGTCTAATTTTCCACCAGAAAGACCAAATGCTTGTGATGTTTCAGTGGCAGTCAGGGGAGAGTAACAATTTATTAATCCTAGAAAGTTCTATACAGCTCAGTGCCTGAATCCTATAGGCATCAAAAACCTCACCCAGACTCAGGGATGTTACCCATCCTGTTACTTAGCCCTAAAACTTTCCTTCTTGGCTCCAGGCTTGGCTGTGGGGGAGCCCTGGTTCATGACTATTGGTGACCATGCCACATGTGACACCATTCTGATTCACATGGCAAAGTAAAATGGCAGGGATGCATATTTTGGAGTCGAGACCAGGTTCCAAACCAGGATTAGAGTCAATGTGTACTATGCTTTTTAGCAGCAAAGGCTGCCAGCTGAGACGCTGCCTCTGCCTTCTGTAATTGAGGGAACTTTCATCATTTTCTCCCTTCTGGGCCTCTGTTTCTTCTGTGAAGTGGGGATGACCATATCTGCTCCCAGGGATCATGCAGGGATAGTCAGCCAAGCTAGATGAGGACTCAGTCCCGGCAGAGTCTGCCTGGCACATGATAAGGACTCAGGAAACAGTAGTTGGGCTTCATCATTGCCACTATTATTATTATTATTATCATTATTATTATTATTTGTGTCCCCTCCTGCCTTACAGTGCGGAAACAGGAAATTATAAAAGTGACAGAGCAGCTGATTGAAGCCATAAGCAATGGAGATTTTGAGTCCTACACGTGAGTCAGCTGGGCTCATTTTGCATGTCCTGCCTGGATGGTGTTGAGGGGGTGCCAATGGCTAACCTCAGGGTCCTTGTCGCTGACCATCACGCGCTCACTCTGCATGTGCTTCGAATGAGGCTGACCTCATGTTTCCGTTCTGCACTCGGACTTTGAGCTTATGTCGAGCTTTCTGCTCACACTTTTCTCCATCCAGTCCTCCCAGCCTGATCCCTGAAGGAACTGCAGCAGGATTCCTGCGCTTCCCCCTGGAAAGAGGGGTGGGCTGCACCTCAGCATGGGAAGGAGGGGAGGGAGGCAGACCCTTCCTCAGACCTGCCTAATGGGCCTGGGTCCTCACCTGGACTTCTTCAAGCCACTGACCTCAGCTGGGCAGGAGCGGGCAAGGGCCTAGAAAGTGTGTGGCTTTAATGAGCAGGAGTACCACAAAGCAGAACCTTAAATCCTCAGGGAGTTAGGCAGTGTGCACACAAATAACATAAAATTAAGCAGGTGTTCTGATACATATGTACCAGATACCTCTGACACATAGGTATGCATCCCATACATACCTGCGCCAGTTCTTGGTGGGAAGGCTGTGCACCTGAGCTGGGCTGCAGCGCCTCCTGGTGGTCCCTAATGCCTTTCCTGGTTTGGCCCCAGGGAGAGCAAATATTCTGGACTTAGACCATAGTGTTTCAGCCAGTCCTGACAAGGCCTGGGACTGATCACCACACATATGCTTTTTGATGGACAAAGGTTGCTGACTGAGGCAGAATGACCTTGGCCTGTTGGGGTAAGGTGGGATGGGAATAACCTGGCCAGAGAGGGGTGCTCTCTAAGCAGTTTTTCCCTGTTTTCCTTGTGCCAGGAGCTGCAGTAAGCCTCCCAAAGGCTTGACAGGTCAGGTGCATTCTACCTGTGGGAGAGTTTTGGCCATGGCAGGTGTCAAAGCCCTAGAGACTCACTGGTTTTCTCTGGAGGACGAAGGGGCTTGGAAGGTGCATGTGTGTCACTGAGGTTAGCATGTACTGCACTTATGTGTGTGCATCTACTTGCACATGTGTGTGCACAGCTGTGACTGTGTGCACAAGGAATGTGCACAGGTGTTTGTGCTGAGGTGTTGCATAAAAGCAAGAAGCAGGCAGTTAACACTAGTCTTGCAGCTAGCCCTAGAAAAATTGGGATTATTATACCAGTGGAAATGCACGGCCAAGGAGAGAGGGAAGATGAAGTGGGCCCTGTGGACAGACCCTGAATCCCCGGTGCCATTTCTGAGGGCCCTGGGGACCTACTTCCACCTGTATGATGTCACTTTATCTGGCATGTGCAGTCTGTTCTAGGCTCTGGCCTTTGCCATGAATTAAGGGGCCTGTGGTATCCTGGTGTCTAGACCTGGACACTCTGAATAATCCCCTATCATCTCACTGAGCCTCAGTTTCCCTACATGTACAATATGGTTGGAGCAAATGATCCCTGAGTCTCTTCACTCTCGGAGGCAGGTACACCCAGACACCCCCTTAATGGGGCTTCTGTGTGTGGGGGTGGGGAGGGGTGCTCCATCTTCCACTGTCAGCACTCCAACCCCACCTGGGAGGATTCTGGAGCTGGAGCACAGCTCTGAGCACAGCTCCCTACCTCTGACTTCATTCGCCTATAGAATTTGGGGTCTTGAGTGGAAAAGTGAGTTGTGTGGAGTCACCCTGCAAGGACTTTGTCCAGCTCAGACAACACTGTGCCTGACACCCTCTTCTGGTATCTCCAGTTCTACCCTGGATTGGGAATTTGGCCTGTCCAGGAGCATTTCCTATTCCTGGCTTCATTGCTATTGTCGCAGGGGTCTATATTGTGCTGCAAAAGACCCCTTAAATCTGGAGCTAGAGAGACAATTTGTCCCCTTCTCCTGCCGGGCTGTCATGGTCTCCCTTACAACTGCACACCTGACTGGGTGAGCAGAGGTGACTTTTATGTAAAGGAAAAAGCAGCTCCCACCCCATATCCAGGGAAGACAAATTAGAAATAGGTGCCTTTGGAACCACTACCTTAGCTGAAGTGCAATGTGGAGATCAGATAGCAGGCTGTGGTCATTCCTGCAGGCACCTATCCTGGTACTCTTACTTCAAGAGATTAAGCTGGGATCTCATAACCAGTAAGTGGCAGAGCCAGGACCTGATCCTAGGCTCCTGGACCTAAATGGCAACTAGTCAACACCACCCCATACTTGACAGTGCACAGCCTCTTTCCACCCACCAGCCTCTTCCATCCTGCAAGGCAGGTGCAGACTCACCCGCTAAGAGTACAGCGAGAAGCCACCCTAGCCCCCTCTTTCCTCTGGCTTCCTTCCCCCAGGAAGATGTGCGACCCTGGAATGACGGCTTTCGAACCCGAGGCCCTGGGGAACCTGGTCGAGGGCCTGGACTTCCATCGATTCTATTTTGAAAACCGTGAGCAATTCCTTCTCTCTGGGGTGCCTGTTGTCTGCTCTTGTTCCATGTCCTGCCGGATGGCACAGCAGGGTGATGGGCAGGGCCCCAGGGGCATCTCAGGAGCCAGTGAAGAGGAAGATCCTGTGTGGACAGGGGTTGGTACCCTCTTGGTTCCCTCTCCTAAACTTGGCCCACTGACTGCCAGCAGCCCCTCCTGTGACTGAGGATGGGACAAGGCAGGCAGATGGGTCTTCAGAAACCAGGGACATATTTGACAAGCTGTTCCTGCCCTTGACCTTGGGAGGGGTCTGGGGAAGACCTTTATCCCCACCCCCACTTTTTTTTTTTGAGACATAGGGTCTCTCTGTATAGCCCAGGCTGGTCTTGAACTCGCAATCCCTACTTCGGTCTCTCTAGTTCAGGGATTACAAATATGTGCCACCATGCCCAGTTTTTTTTTTTTTCTCTTTTTATAGACAAGGGAGCCTTCTCTTACGTGAGGAGTGGGGTCACACCCCAAGCTAGTAATTTGGATGTCTGGGGCCATCACAGATGCCCAGCTGGCTCCAGGGTTATTTCACAATATCCTCTGTAGATTGGCAGTTTGGGAAAAAGGGGAGGACAGCGAGCTCACACTGCTGTGCCCCTGCCTGTTTGTCTAGGTCTTTGTCCTGCATGTCTGTCCTTCCTGGGCCTCTCCTTGGCAGGAGAGATCTCAGCAGCTGCACCACCAGGGGCTGTCGGGGGCTGAGGCTGAGCCTGACATAAGGTGCCTTGTGCCTGTCTCATCCAGTCCAGGGATCAGGCAGGGACCAAGCAAAGGGCACATAGGTAGAATCCACTTAGGATGTAGAGGAAGGACCCGAGAGGTAGTACAGCCAGGGTCCCCCAAAACGAAGGGCAGGCTCTCCTGGAGCTTCATAGCATCATTGCAGGTGTATGTAGACACCACTTAAAACATCGGCTCATGCAGTGAGAAAGCTGTTCCTATTTAATTCTCTTTCAGTCCTCTGGCAACATCAAAGGGAAAGGCACAGTTGGGTGCCAGCCTATCTTTAACACCTCTCTGATGCTTCCTAATTTCTTCCTCTATCAAAGAGCAAGAGTCCCAGAATCAGATCCCTTGAAGTCAAGAACAGAGAGCAAGGATTACATAACTTCATTTTGTTTTCATCGGACTTACTAACTTTTTATTCTGTGATACTGATTGTCCACAGATGATTGTGCAAGACAGTTTTCTTTTAAAATAAGCATATAAATTAGTAGAGCGAATCAATGAGGAAAATATTTTCATGAAATATGCACAGGTGGCATTTGGATATGGTGAAAGTGTTAAGAGCGGTACTTCAGTGCCTGAAGATCTAGTTCAACTCTGTCATTTAGAAGGGGAAACTGAGGCCCAGAAAGAGGAAATGACTTGTCCAAAGGAAACCAGAAGGTTGGTGGTAGAACCTGGCCCTGACTTACTCCCAAGCGCCTTTCCTTGCCAGTGTGGCCCACTCTGTCTTCACAGTGGTAGCCTGGAGCTGGAACTGACACTCTCCTGGCCTGCACCTGCTGAATTTTATAAAGTGCAGAGACTCCAGGGCACCCTTCTTCTTTCTACTCACCACCCCCCGCCAAAAAAAAAGCTGTGAAGAAAGGAGCTACATGTTTGTCATGAATCGAACTCTGATTCTCTAAGGCTAGCAATGGATTTGGATTCTCATGTGAAGAGAGGTGGCTGGACCTCCTGGGTCTATCACTTGAAGCTCCCAAGGATCACTGTGGCTGCCATTGTACCTGTGTTCTCTGGGGGCACAGGGACAGAACACAGATAGGGGCCATGTAGTCCCTCATGCAGTGGCCCCCATCTTAGTACTGACCCTTGGACTCTAGAGTTGAACATCTGGTCCCCTCCAAGGCAGGATCCACAGAAGCAAGACCCTGACAGATTCCTCCCCTTCCACTCCCACCCTAGCTTCTAATCTGGTTAAAAGACATCACATTAAGGTGGAGCCCCTGGGGAATCCCAGCCCTTGCCAACAACGGCAAGTCCCATCCCTCAACAATGATACACTCTCTGTTCCTTCTGGAATTGTTCTAAATTGTTCACCAGGAGTCTGATTTCTTTTAGGCTACACTGCATTTCTTTCAGAAACTGGCATAGTTTGGGCCAAGCCACATGGCTACTCTGGACCTTAGTTTCCATATCTGCTAAATGGATGCATTCAAATAGATGGTCTTGTGTGCTGTATGTGATCAGGGATGTTTAAGGAAGCCTCCTTGCTTTTTGTAGAAGGGGCACTTGGTGCAAAGTCACTCCCAAGCCTGTGATGCTAAAGATGTACATTCTACATGTCTGAGAGCCCAGAATTCTAAGTCTGCTATTCTGTTTGTCTAAGAACTCATAATTTTGGTCTTTTACCCAAGGCCTGGGTATAGTGTGATTATCATATTAGGAAGTAGACGCTATTGGAGGCTTTCTGCGGCCCAGAAAAAAAAAATAAAGACATTTTATGTTTTTCAGAAAATAAGTGCCTTACAAATCTGGCTGGATATCAGAATCAGAGGCTGGGGACAAGGAAGGGAGATTTTTATTACAGTTCCTTCAACTGGGAAGTCTAAGGGTGGCGTTAGGGGCTGCATTTTAAGTCAGCTATCCACATGATTGGGACCTACAGTCAGGTAACTCTAAGGGACGGCACAAAGTTCCTGTTAAAGAGTGAGAACCTAATGTCTTCTGGCCAATCCTCCCCCCACCCCGGTCATTGTCTTCCTGTACTCTCATTTCTATCTTTATGAACAAGTTGAGTTTCTAGAACCAATATGATAATGATAGCAAAAATGGTGGGGTTCATCTTTCATGTAGTGGGAGCTGGTTTCAGGTACTTTGCTCAGTTCTATCATGATTATAAGATCTACACGTTTCCCTTTAACTCTGGAAAACTGCATGACCTCACTCCATGACTACCAATACAATCCTAAAAATCTCAAAGGTTATGCAATTCCAGAATTCCCCAAGTTTCTATAATCTGGTATGTCAACAGTAGCATTCGCAAATGGAGCCCCACCAGCCATGTCTGGACTGTAGAGGTTTCATGGGGTCTGTGTGCGAAATTTGAATGTTATTTCAATCATTTAAAAAGGAAGAATTTTCATATAAAAGCCCAGATTTCCAGATTCTTTTGAGAAACCAGGTGTGGTGACATGAGTCCCACTTATTCACATTGCAACCACTAGGGAGGCCGAGAGCAGGACAGGACAAGGGGTTCTATTTACCACAGTCCTTATCACTCCCTACTGTCTCTCTGACCCAGAGGCAAAGTGTCTGTCATTCAGCATCTTATACCTGGCTCAGCCCCCTTGTTTATATACCTGTCTGGCCCCTGTAGGGATCTGGGTTTGAGACAGATCAAGGTTATCTGGGTCTAGACAGGCACTCTACCACTTAAGCCACTCCACCCATCCCGGTCATCTGGATTTATAAACCTCTTGGCCCCATACCTCTGAATGGAGACTACAATATTAAGATTCCACTTTTCTGTGTTTGAAGAATTCAGTGTGTCTGAAATCCATTGGTATCTAAGCTAGGACGGGAGTTCCCCATTACCAAGCATCTCTGTCTTGACTCCCAGGTAGCTGAGCCCTGTCACAGTTTGCCCTGTTGCAAATGAGGCAGGCAGAGGGGCCTCCCTTGGGAGGGCTGTTAGGAGTTGACAGCAAAGGAAGCAAGGCAGGAGGCCCCCAGTTGCATCTCCTCTGCCCCTCCTGCCCCAACTCCAGTGTGGTCCCGGAACAGCAAGCCCGTGCACACCACCATCCTGAACCCCCACATCCACCTGATGGGCGATGAGTCAGCCTGCATAGCCTACATCCGCATCACGCAGTACCTGGACGCTGGCGGCATCCCCCGCACCGCCCAGTCAGAAGAGACCCGTGTCTGGCACCGTCGGGATGGCAAATGGCAGATCGTCCACTTCCACAGATCTGGGGCGCCCTCTGTCCTGCCCCAGTAAGAATCCTTTCTTCCTGCCTCCTCTACCCACTCGCCCAGGGGGAAATGAAGGGTGTTGGCCTGGAGAAGGGACACACTGGGGAACATGGATACTGCCACATGCTTCTGAAATACTACGGTGGGGATTGGGAAGATGCCAGGGAGGAGGCGCCATTCCTGTAGGTCCCAAGCAAACCTAGGTGGGAGTGCTATAAGGCAGTGTGGACCCCATCTAAGGTGGTGGGTGGGCTTCCCTGAGAGACATCACACTGACTACCACCTGCACTGTCTCTTACAGTTGAAGGACCCGGCTGGGGTCGCTGCGGTGTCATGTCGCAGAGATCCACTCTTTGTCCTTGGAAAGTGGCTGCTGATTCTCTCTCTTGGATTTTGCTGGAATTCTCCCCATCTCATCGATCGAACAGTTTACCTCTGTTCCTGCATCGAGAAAATCTGCTTGTTCACAAAAGCCATCCCGACTTCAAAGCAAATGGCCAGCTCTCCCCACCCCCACCCCTTACTCCTGCTCTCTTCCTGACAGGGCAGGGCTTCCTCAGGCCTGAATACCTGGGGTGCTGGCCCCAAGGACTTCCCCCCCACCACTTCCACCCACTGTTGTTGGCCTGGACTGGCCTTGGCTCCAGCTATGTGTTCACCAGGCTTGAGGAGGAGAGATGTGTAGTGGGGGTTCCTGTCATGGACCTCTCCTCTTCTGGGGTCCCCGAAGAAGTACAGGTGAACCTCCCCCCCATCCCCATGGCCAGCCTCCCTGTGGGAGAGTATGAAAGAAGGGCAGAACAGGAAGCCCTGCCTTCAACTGCTGCCCAGATCTCCTCCCCTCCTGGGCTGGCCTTCTGGGGGTCTGCTGACCCTTCCCAGTACAGGGAGTTCAACCCCTCACCTGCCCCACTTGCTGCCTCCTGCGAAGTCCACCTGCAACATTGACCTGCTCACCCACCCTCCATCATCTTTGGAGAATTCCAACTTCATCATGTCCGAGAGAGAACCTGATTGTGTTTCAGGGGCAAAAGAAAGCAACGTTTAGGAATTACTTCTATTTGGACCGCATGCCTTTTTCTAGCCAAACTTCTGTGTATTTCGTAAATGGATTTTGCGTTAAGGAATATTTATGTAATAACTAAGCCTTTCGAGTTATGTGAAGAGGGCTGGGTTGGGAAGGGGATAGAAAGAGGGGTGAGAGGTAGTTTTTATTCTGTTCTAGGCTTTTTTGGTTTCTTTTGGTCCTTTCTGAGGTGGACTTTGTCACCTGTGGTTATCTGAGGCTGAGGCGGACTTGGCCCCAGGAAGCATGGCCTCTCTGCCATTCTGGTCCTGAGGTGAGCCAGTGCAGGCCTCCCTTCCAAGTGCTAGGTGACTAAGAAACAGTGAGTCTAGGCAGGGAGAGGGCTGAGGCTATCAGGATGGAAACATCCGGGCTTGGCTTCGCTTCTCTCTCAAACTGGGGTCCTTACCACTGAACTTTCCAGGATTTCCTTCCTCCACATGTGTGTGGAGCCCCCAGTGCCCCCACCCACCCCTTGGTCTCTGAACATGGGTGAGCATGGGCCTTCATTGCCTCTCTCTACCCTTGGCATCTGATGGCCAAAGCAGAGCACTGGATACTTCTGCCTGCCTTCTAGTCTTCACGCCTCACCCTGAATCTGGAGTTTCTCTCTCTCTTCCTCTCTCTCTCTCTCTCTCTCTCTCTCTCTCTCTCTCGCTCCTTTCCTCTCTCCCTCCCTCTTGCCCAAAGCTGACTGGTGTGGAATGCCTTGGTACATCCACAGGATCTGCTGTCTGCACTGTTTCCTTTGCATGACTTTATATGCAGTAAGTATGTTGAAAAAAATGAAAAGAAGAAAAACACTCAGCAAAATCAATCTACATGTTTTGGATAAAAAAAAACAAAACACCCAATAGAGGTTGTATTCTCAGTGTCCGACTCGGAATTACATTGCTGCCTCTCTGTGCTTTTGGCCTCTGTGTGGCCGTGTTTTGCCAGCATGAGATACTGTCCCCTCTGGAGGATCTAGGGGAGGAAGAGCCACATCCCCTGTGTTAGGGTTTGGAGGACGCTGCAGTGCCCTCAGCCCTCCCGGGTGTTGGCTGGAGCAGAACTAGGGGGATGTTTAATCCTGAACTTTCTAGTTCTCCCCCATCATGAGTTGTCTGCTGGGCTCTTTTCTTAAGTCCTGCTGCACAGGGACAGGTGAGACAAGCTGGGCTGCAGGCCAGGAAAGGGGCTGCCCAGACCTCTCTTTTGCAAGCTGGCCCATCACTGGCCTCTGTCCCTGGAAGAGATCCTGCTGCCCTGTCCTAGAGGGTGTGCTCCTTGCCTGCCCCAGGGCCCAGAGGTCTTCTCAGTAAGGTTCAGTGATCTCATTTTCCCAGCAGCAAAACTACCTGTCCCTCTGTGAACTGCCGGTTCCCTATGGCCATCCCCAATCAAAGGTGAAGGAGAGGTGTGGCCTTCACCAGGGGATGCTACAATTACCAAGCAAGGTCTGGTTTTTTTCTTCAGCCTCAGTTTCCCCATCAGTTAAAAAGGATAAGTGTTCCTAACCCAGACTGATGGAGAATCAAATTGATGGTGACATGAGGCTCAGTATACCTGAGGGGAACTTACAGTGTTCGGCGTTGGCTGGCTTTCTATTTGCTTTAGGCCTGGCCAGCCCCCATCCTCGCCCATACCTGCCCCTCGTTCCCCTCTTTGGTGCCTGTCCATTGCTTATCAGCAGTGGACTGCAAGGAAAAGAGAAGTGGTTGGGGGGTTAATAGACTTCAATTCTTAGCTCTGACCAGACTTGCTGTGTGACCTTGGGTGAGTCCTTTCCTCTTCTGGGACCTTGGTTTCCCTACCAGAGGAAACAAGATAAGGAGGACCCCCAAATCTTGCCTTTCTTTGGCTGTCACACCTCTGTCCACTGTGTGCCTCTCCAAGTGCCAGAAAAGTGGAGGCAGAGCCCTACCCCAGGCTGTGATGGCCCTTACTGTAGAGGCCACCCCTGTGGGTGAGCAGTCACCGGATGTAGACCCTGAGGACCAGGGTGACCCTGAGGCAGCAGGCAGGAAACACTGCCCAGAGCCCACCAGACAAACTCTATGCTCCTCTCAAATGCCCTCTAGATGCAAAAAAAAAAAAAAAAAAAAATCCAAATCCAAGTCAAAACCCAGGCTCTAGCATGCAAATATGTTTACAGGAAAGTACTCCACAGGGTTTGTGCCACCCTGGCTCGAATCCTGCTCCCGGGCCGCCTGTCTCCCTTCAAGGGAGACCCTATGGGGATGTGTTTGCCAGGCTCCCCATGCTGGTTTCTTTGTTAGTATTTGTTTGGGGTTTTGTTTCAATTCCTTCTTTTCTTTTTTTAAAAATATGTGGCTGTGAACTTGAATGACCACTGCTCAAACTTTCTGCTATTGGGGGGTGGGGAGGGAAGAAGGGGTGTCTGTTTTATTCTTGGTGTTTTCAGTGCAATAAATAGCTACAAACTTCTGTGCACTTCATGTGTCCCTGTCTTGGTCAAGGAGGGGCCCTGGAAAGTGTTCCCTGGTCCAGATCTCCCCTGCTGCAAAATAAAAGTTCCAGTCTTCATTCTGATTGAACCAGCTTGGGCCACATGTCAAGGCTGAGTCAGTCACTGGATTATGCCTGGGCCACATGCCCCATACTTAGAGCCAGGGATGAAGATGGCATACTCTCAGGCACTTAGGGTATCCTTAAGAAAGCAAGGAAGTGGATATGAGTTGCTATGAACAGCCAAGAGCCAAAGTCTCCTTGAGCAGTCTCTGGACAATGTTCATCTTCCGGGGAAGCTGAGGAAATCCTCACTCATTCTCTTCCCTCACCCCAACCTCACAGACAACCCCAGGCCTCAGAGTACCTGGAGGGTGGTTTGGAGAATGGGCTAAGGAGAAAAAAGTTCTCTTTACCTTCAAACATGCTTATGGGCCCAGCTTGGGGCAGGGGCCTTAGAGCTGGAGAGCAAAGACCATGAGAGGGCCCACTGGCTTCAGGAAAGTTTTCTGAGTCCAAGTAGCTTACCAGTGGCCAGGCAGAACCTGATGGTGATGTAGCGGGTTTGGCCTTTCTTGTCCATGATAGAGTGCTGACCATCCTGGATGCTGATACGAGATGTTTGATACTAAAACCAGGACAGTCTAGGCAAGTCAAATGAGTTGGTTACCTGGAAGGTAACACACACGCACAGGAAATTAATGTGAGTCAACTCCCTGTATAGTTATCCTTATCTCAACCAGAAAAACCCTTGGTCCTTCCTATTATTGCTTATACTTTCTCTACAACAGAATTAGAAATAAGGGCAAAATAGTTTCTGCTGGGTATTGAGGGGGTGGGGGGGAGGGTGAGGGGGCGGAGTGGGTGGTAAGGGAGGGGGTGGGGGCAGGGGGGAGAAATGACCCAAACATTGTATGCACATATGAATAATAAAACAATAAAAAA